CATGGCAAACATTTTAGACGATCCATTCCACAGACGCTGGAGTAAATCTTGCTCCTGCCCCCCCTGCACAAGATTCCGTACAATGGGTTGTAAAAACCCTGAGACCTGCTACCAAGCCGCTGAAAACATAATCTCGAACCTGAAACCCCAAGTCAACCCCCGATCGGTCCTACCATGCCGTCCCCCCCCTCGAGAACCGATATAGAAAACACCGGAACCCACTCCCTAGGCGACGTGCTGAACGTCAAAACCATAAAAACCTTCCCCGACCTGAAAAACAATACGTCAGACTACTTCCGCATCTTCCGCGAAGAACTCAACCAGACAAATCCCCCCACGCTGAGACTCCCAAGGAACCTCAGCACTGACATCGTTGCCTACACAGACGGGTCCTGCACTGGCAACGGCGAAATCGATGCCAGCGCCGGCTACGGAGTGTGGTACAGTACAGATAACCCCAACAACGCCAGCCTCCCCGTAAACCGCACCTTCCCCCAAACAAACAATACTGCTGAAATCCTAGCAATAAACCACGCAGCCGCTACGACGCCCCGAAGAGCTAGACTCCACATCAAAACTGATTCTAAATGGTGCATGAATACACTAACCATAGATCTGGACAATGCGGAAGACCAGAACTTCATCGGATCCCCTCATCCCCTTGCTATAAAGACCACCATCAACTCCCTCCGGACAAGAAACGGCATTGTCTCCATCGAATGGATTAAAGGCCACAACGGCTGCGAAGGCAACGAAAATGCTGATAACCTCGCTGCAACGGGCTCCACAAAACCCCCCAATGCCGAACCCACCATCACCAGCCTCCCCTTCATCCAGAACGGCGCTAGACTGTGCGCCCTAACCCAAGCAACCGCCACGAAACTAATAATCCGAGAATCAGCAAAGAACAACCACAACAAAAGTCAAAGATCAACGAAGAACCTTGACCACATCAGAGACACCCTGAAAAGCCTTGACTGCCCGGCCCCAAACAACGACTTAATCTGGCGCGCCATCTTAAGAAATAAGAATGAACTGAACCCCAGCCTTAGAAACTTCGTATGGAAACTTGTCCACGGCGCCCACAAAGTCGGCCCCTACTGGAGTAAAATCCCTGGATACGAAGACCGCGGCCTATGCGCGAAATGCGACGTCCCTGAATCGATGAATCATATCGTTTTTGTGTGCCCACACAACCAAGGCCCTAAACTTTGGGCCGCCATAAGATCCATGAACACAACAAAAGGAATACGCTGGCCCAATACCATGGATATACACCATGTAATGGCAGCCCCCCTAACCTTAATTAAAAGCCGGAGCGGCATCACAAACCACGGTGCTACTAGATTCTTCAGAATCGCCGTCCTCGAATGCGCTTGGCAAACATGGAAACTAAGATGTAAAAGAGTCCTCAGCGACGACACAAATGGCGAAATTAAAATCTCGCACAACGAAGCCATAAACTCCCTCAAAGCCGCCATGAATGAAAAACTTAACCAAGACAGATCCCTCACGAACAAGAAAAAATACCATAATAAAGCTCTACCCGAATGGCTCGTTCTACACACCTGGAGCGGTACACTGGAGAATGAACTATGCCTCCCCGAGAATTGGCTAAAGTGCAACGGGGTTTTAGTGGGTATACCTGACCCTCCGCGGTCACGGGAGCCCCACACGGAGCGATCCTCGCCAGTGCGATAACGCATTCCCCCGTGGTGGCAATTCCCCTCACACCGAGGCACCAATCATCAACTACTGGAAGGCACCGCCCTCCCTACAAACCTTCAGGCATTACGCCCGCGAAAGCTACCGAAGGTTCCACCAAAAAAAAAAAAAAAAAAAAAAAAAAAGAAACAACTAGTGGGGGGTGGCGTTGTTTCGGTTTGCGGAAAGAAGTCGGTGAGATGCTATTTTTCAAGGGACGGTCAGAGACTGAGCAGCGCTGTCCAGCAACCCGAAGCCCGAGAGTCTGATCCCTGCGAAACGACTGATTGTGGGCGCTTGCGTGGCAATAGCCGTCAGTGTTAAGTGACTCCAAATTCATGCTGGCACCGTGAAGCTCGAAGTTGGGCTTCATTCCAGGCTTGCTCGGCCAACTCCGTCACAAACAGCAGCTCCTGAAGCTGACAAATTTTCTTTTCATTTCCTCGCACTTTGTCGAGACACCGGACTACCGTGGGTAGTAATTGTGTTTGCATCTAGGCATGTCGTTCAGATCGCGCATCTTGAGCAGAGCACCTGATGATGTTGAAATTTGGAAACAAACTCGAGCTAAAGACATTCCTTGCTCGTAATTTCACTCGCTTCAGCCAGCATGTCTCCTGACTGCCTGCACATTGGCCAGCACTTCTGCACACCGGTGCTGTTGGTGCCAATAGATTTCCCGGAACTTCCTCTCGACTATCATAAGGTTAGTCCATTGTGGTCCCCTAGTTCCATATTCCCTTGAGTGTGCCTATATGGTCCAGTAGACTAGTATTACTTGATGAAGCTATCTGTGCCTCTGCGAGAGGTATGCATCATACGACTACGTTACTTAGGAAGGGTTGGCGATTGGTTGTTACCGCCATGGATCTCGGTTTCGTGGTCACTGATCCGGCTGTTGAAATATATCCGCCCCTCGCTCTGTTCCTCCAAACACTGCATGGCTAGCGACAGCGCACAGTACCTATTCCAATTCGGCTTCATTATCGTAGATACTTTTAAGACTTTACCTACCATCCCACACATGCTTGGTGCTCCTGTGAAGTGAACGTTTCGTGCTTGCGCAGCTCTTTGCCTTGCGCGACTTAGTGATCAATCGCTGGTGGATTCGAACGGCAATGGTATTGGCGAGCTATGCATAAGAGGATTCAAGGCCTTGCGGGATGGAACATGATCATCCCAATCAGCGTGGTGGTTGCGAGAAGGACTTGACTCATGATGCCAGCAGTTCGGATTGTTGATGATTATATGAAATCCTTATGGAATCGTTCCAGTCCTTGAGCAGGGCAGGCGTCTGACAGCTTCGCTGAGGAAAGCGGGGCGTTGGCATGAGGCGCCGGCGAGGTCTGGAGTTATCTTGGCTTTTGCCAGCAGGCTAGGTTTTTATGCCATCGAGGCGATAGAAGATGGTACTCAAGACCTGAGCAGTGGGAGCCGATGTAGCGAGTGGTCGTGATCGAAACTCGCCAGAGACCAAGCATAAGAGAATTGATGCCAGCATGACATCGCTACATATCATATCAAATGCCATAGAGACACACGACACTGGACAAGCGATGAATTGCATGTCCCCATCACGACCCCGGCCCCTGTTGACTGCTGGCCGGTGTCGATTTGGGGAGGACTATCGATCAAGGTGAAATATACGGGTGTCTGCAATATGGTTCATCCGCACTGGCTGAGCCACGTTTCCAACGTCGCGAAGCTGTGTGGCCACCTGACGTCCGCTTCTCAACAATCGAAGCAATCTACTGCTACCTCTCAATATTAGGAATCAGAAGCAAAGGAGAGATATAGATGAATTTTACGTGAAAAAAGAGATACTTGCATGAGTAATTAGTGCTCCATATGTATGCGATCTTGATCTTGGGTTGCTATCGGAGAATCTGTTCTACACGGCGAGCTGCTGCCATAGATATAAAATGTTGCACCTGGCAAACGCTGTGCCCTGAATTGAAGTTGAAACCAATACGTTCCAATATGCGGCGAGACAACCTATCCACAAATCGGACAAATTGGAGGCAAAAGGATACACAGTATGCTGCACTTTTCTCGCATGGGGTGTGACGGCTCCAGGGTCACACGAGTGGCGAGTAAAGCGCGAGAAGATTGTCAGCCGAAACTTCGTTTGGAGAGTTACGATCCTTGGCACCTGTTTCTGCGGCGGAGTTGGCCGAGCCAGTCTGTATCAGTATTCAGTTCCCATCGAATCAAATAGGGCGAAGCCCAACATGAATTTATGGTGCTAACGACCGCTCAACAACTCATCTAATGACCCTTCGAGTTGCTAGACAGCGCTGCTCAGTCTCTGACCGTCCCTTGAAATTAGCGTCTCACCTGTGTAGGGGCTTCTTTCCGCAAACTGAAACAACCCCCCACTAGCTGTTTCTGCTTGTACTTGTCTAAAGCCTGCTCCAACGATTGCTGGCGCGTTGATGTTGAGGAGCTCTGCGGGCTTCCTGGACCCACGACCTTTCATATCCTGTCATACCCTGTAGTATTGCAACACGCTCAAGTCTGATCCATATTCTTGGCACAAGGACCTTGAGATATCATGTTATCCAGATTCATCAGCTGAAAACTCGCAGTATGAACTGACACGACCTTGCACTGAGACTCGATGATGCCCTTGAGACGAGAAAGTCCTTATCATCCATGTTGGAAGTTGATGAAGCGTTTGAAGATGGTGGCGACATGACACCCTTTATCATCCGGAAATGAAAGCTTGTCCCCTGGATGATATCAATTTGGCTTCCCTCCTCGGGACTCAGCTGTGCTCGCCCTGTACCGAATAACATATAAGCATGCATGGGGCCAAGTCGGCTACAAACGACAGATGAAATTCTACCCCATAAACTGGGCCCTGGATTTCTGTTAAACAAAACGCACCCGTATCGTTAAATCCTTTCCGGAGCCGCTCCTCCCGATGGCATCAAGATCCCATTCATGAATACTATAAAGTGCGAGCACCTTTGAGAAGTCCCCAATGCGAGGGGTACCGTATGCTTTCCCTTCTCCCACTAGCGTTCTACATCTAAGCGGGCACTGATAGAATATTCCTTAACTGGATACTTATCTTAACCCTAAGTGGGTATTTTCATTATAACGAATCGTCAACTGCGTTGAACATCGACCATTTCAGGCTTTGAGGAAACAGGAATGCTAACCTTCATGAGTCTTGTGAACACTCTCGTCCATTCCGTGCCACACGTTGTTTTGTGACCGCACGCTCCCTGACGGAATTATTCAAGCATCTGGTGATTTGTATCCGAACACTCTCGGATTTCCGAGCCCCAACAAAACACTCCCTTCCACTTCGTACTCATGGGCTCAATGCTTCAGTGAGTAATACCACAAGCCTTCATGATACGCATCTGATCTTAAGGATATGTGCATAGAATCGTCTTGGCCGTCCTGGGCCTGACACTCACTGCAACGCTCTTTTCCTTTTCTCTCCTTTTCATTGCTCGCATGCATCGTTCAAGTACCTGCGCTCCTGTTTCCGCCGGAATTTATGCAGTAGCGTTGGGGCTTATCCCAATCCAATTAGCCCAACTCGGTACGTAGTTGGCATGAAAATTGCACGTCCCAGTTCACCCTTCCCTTTTCAGGTGCCGGAGTGTTGATTTTCATATCTTGCACTGGTATCTGTGAGACCTTTCTACGACTCTTGAGGACTATCTTTTAATCCATTATCCAGCTTACTCGCTAAGGGAAGAGGCGATGCGCATTCTGGGGGCTTCTTCGTGGCTTATGTCAATATTCTCTGCGTGCGCATTATATTGTAAGTTGTATCGCTTCGATGTTCTTTACCTTTAGCTAAACACAAGTACACTTCAGTGTACCTCGGTTTCCGGTGTGTCCCCTTATCATCCTCCCGCTATGGGAACTTATTCCCCTGATTCCTAGAACGCTCAGCCTGAGGTGTATATGTTCGGTGTATTACCAGTATATACAAAAGGGGCTCCGACTCTGTTTGGTGGCCATCATTCTTATCTGTCTTGCTCAGTCGGGTGCGCCATTTTCACGTCATCCATAGCACTTTTTGTTCACTTGCTTGTCATACTCAGCGGTTTTCTCGTATGCAGCGGCTCAGACGATAAAAGCACCGTATGTCTCGTCCGCTGACCACACAAATGATTCCACAACAACATCTTCTGTCAGCTCAAAGAGTCTCAAATGGCGATACTGGGTTGCTGCCGGCGCGTTCGCTGACGCGCTATGCTCTATCATTGCCTGCGCCTCCTGCTTAAAATTCCTTCGTCATGCTAACAAGCATTTTGAAGAAAGCTCGGAACACAGCGCTGGCAGGATGCAGCGTCTGGTATCGAGGGCAGCATTTCGATGTGTACATAGGTCCTCCCATGACATCCCAAGATCGCAGACTAAAGATTTTATGCTATAGATATTGGTGTTTCTATCCGTCTTCGTTCTCCAAGTGCCACGGGGGATGCTGATCATTTTCTGTGTCAGTGACAAGCCATCAACATTTTGAGCACTGCTTACCTTGAGTTTCCCTGGTTCTTCAGCCCAGCAGTCCGGTCTTGGACTTCATATCCCCGGTACTAGGGCAAGTAAGTCTAATCTCCCGTAGTGCTGATGTGCACAAATATCTTACACTGGGACCCGATTTACTAGCTTTATTATATGATCTTTGTGTTATCCATCGTACGGATCACACGGAGTCGCGATATCGCCAATGGGATTTATCCACCACCCAGTTCGGTGGTGTTAAGTTCCATCCACTTCGTGCTGCCTCACGATATTTCGGGTATGAGAGAACTCGGTACTCGATACATATGCCTGATGACAGCACGCAGATTCGGAGCTCATGGAGTCCGTGGATTCAGGTGATACCACCACATCTGGGGTAGGTTTCTTCTATAGTATCAAGGTTTGACTTCATGGCCCTCCATCAGAATGGTTTGGTCAATCTTATTCTTATGCGTACCCCAGCCATTCCCGTAAGCCGTGTCTCGCAGAAGCCTACTTCCGACACCGTCTTATAATGCCTCTGACCCCTTAGCCAAACACCGCATAACAGAGATCCAGGATGTCCAACGGCCACAACGGGGTGGTCTTACGCCAGATCGTTTAGTCCTGGATCGGCGAAGGCTAAGTGGTAGCCATATGGCACTGCTCCTGGTTGAGGGCCAAATGGATCCCCCTTTATACCCTTTATTGTTCCTACAGCATGAAACATCGATTACTTATCTAAGCAACCATCATTCTCTCTTTAATTCTTCTGTTCTCTCCGTATCTCTCCTTTGCTTCTGATTCCCAATATCATAAACTCTTCTTATGAGACATAGCAGCGAATTACTCTGGACCGTTGAGAAGTGAACGACACCATGCGACCACGCAACTTTGCGAAGTTGCAAATGTGGCTTGTGGATGAACGATATTCATTGTCTCAAGCGCCAGAACATCCCCCCTCAATTTGATCGAAAACCTTCCCCAAAAAGCGACACCAGCCAGCGATCGGTGGAGATAGATTCATCTTGTCCGATCCACAAGTCGCTATTGTATGCTGCTGCGGCGTTTGATATGAGCAGTCAGCGGATTGGAACATGCAATGAAAGCGTCACCATTTCGTTAGAAGCTGAAATTACCAGGTCCATTTTCTCTTGTGTTGTGTCTAGCCAGCGGGTTTCAATCCATAACTACTCGCCACTCCGCGAATCCGAACTCTGTAAAACCCCCTTCTTGCATACTTAGGGTTCAACTGCTGCCTAGCTCAACTTTGGCATATACCCATAACCTTGGTAACACGATCCAGCATCTTCTATGGGCAGACATCGCTTCAGGTCATTCTTTTCTTTTTTAGACACCTTGTACTGCTCCAATCCAGGAATCCGTTTTACGAAGACTCGCAACGTCTTTGGCAACATGTTTGTCTCAGATTGCAACATCACAGATACGCTTTATTCATCATACACAATCTAAAGCAACACAGGGTTAATGCGAGGCAGGTCTTCTATTGCAGTGCGGCCTGGATTGAGGTTGGAACAGGGTAGCAAACACGACGCTGCCGTCCCAATATGTGACGGCAATTTATCCACAAATCGGACAATGCAAGTAAAGGGTTGGTGCACCTTTCTCGCATGGAATTAATCACCTTTCAATTACTAACGAGTGCTGGCTTTATGAGTCCTTCGCCCAATCGCGCTGATCGGCGTCACATCGCATTTGTACAATGCCTTGGAATTTGGTTGGGATTTCTTTATAATGCATAGCTTGCCAACACCATGATCGTTCAAATTCCATCAATGGTTGATAAGTTACAAGTGGCGCAAGGCAGACAGTCAGTATACCCGTATTGGAGTTGCATGGTGTGAATGACGCGTGCTTCAGCCGTAGGGCGTTCACAAAGAACCGGGCATGAAGAGTGGTACGCGCGTGGTACGTATGGCGGTGCCAATGGCGAAGCATGGATGTAATGCGCTATCCTTTGCTATGGAGTGTTTGGGGATCAATTTAAAACAAAACGCTAGCGCGCAAACACACCTCGACGGGATCAGTGGTGACGAAACCGAGACCCAGCGACAACCAATTGCTAGCCCCCCGAAACCTAGCCCCTTCATAATCGTATTACGACTGCTTTTTGCAGAGTCAGTGGAGGTCGCGGACACGAGGTCAAGATAGATATGAAAAAGCAACTAAAGCTCAAGCGAAGCAGTCAGATGCATCTCGATATCAGGAGTATCAGACATCCTGGGGATTTGGAACGAGTTATTAATTCAGGCCCGTTACTGTAAAACGCCCATCCAAGAGGTCTAGCTCAGACTCATATCATGTCCTGATTTCGATAGGGGCTACATACATTAGCATTCAGAACCATAATTTTACACGAGCGATGCTTGATACAGAAAACGCAACGTCATCAGCCGGAGAACCCGATACATGCTTGGATTTGTCAAGGGAATGCCAGCACCGATTGCGCAAGGGAAGGAAGCATCGGACTTGAGTATGCTGGGAATACAAAGGAAAGGACGGTTCAATAAAGTGAAGATGTCAAGGTGCGAAGCAAATGGCCGTCAAATCGGGGGCCGGTGTTGGGGGGTCGACTTTACTGACAAAAAGGAAAATGCATCACACAAGAAAGAGGGGCAAGGCAATTGGGCCTTTGGCAATCTGGCTAAATTATCTCTAACACAATGAGCATAAGGGGTCAGGCCCAGCCAAAGACAGCGTTGCAGCAGCAAATCGAGAGTAGATCAATGATATTCCGGGAAGAACCTCACGATCAACCGCATGTTGATCTCTAAATTCGGTCTGAAAATATCTTCGTGAGTGTCCCCAACCTTACAAATCGGGAATACGCTCGGCCGATTTGCCAAGCAGTTTTCAACGAATTGTGCTGGAGATGTCGAGACAGGGATGGTTGAGCCTCATTTAAATCGTTATAGTTATGACTTCTCAAGTCCAAAGGGCATGTCGCCCCTTATCTATTCTCTCTGCGAAATCGCGCCAGCTCGTGGTTGAGATGGGCGGTGTACCAATATAGAAGGGAACGTCCACCTGGAACACACATGTGAGCAGGCTCTGATGCTCGGACAACGTTGCTGCGTCTTTGCGACAAAGAAATGGTCCGGGTGGCAGGGGTGGCATGTTCTGCCTGAACTGAGAAGTAACTCAGCGTTCATGTATCTAACAACTGAGGCTTGGCTTGAGTGTTTGAGCCAAGGAGCGCTCCGAAAGGAGAGTCGTAAGAACTGAGGCTTCTCCATTCTGGCTGGTACTATATCACATCATCGACACAAACAAAGCGTAGAAGGAGACGTGCAGCTACGAGAGGCCTGGTAATCGATCGCCTCAAGGTCAAGGTTACAACGGAAGAAACACGAAACTCCGATATCAAGGCGAAAGAAAATCTCCAGGACACAAAGGAATTCTATGCATCGAATTCTGCAGCTGACCTCGCCTTTTCGGGCGATAAGTTGGCAAGTGAATTCAGCATATCCCTGGAGGAAATCTTGAGGAGCCGAGGCCACGAGGGCTACGCTTGGTCACAGACAAAACAAGAAGGTCGTGTGCTTAGGCTGGACATAACTTGGACAAGCAAACACAAAGAGTCCGTACACATAGGCCCCAGCTCAACCACAAGTGCACATCACCCGGTAAGACAGAAGACGAAGACGAAGAGACCAGTCCGTACTCCGCACCAGACAAAAGGCCGTTACCAAGACAAGACGAGCTAGTGTTACCACCGAAGATGGTTATGTTGCCCTGGCTTCTGAGATCCTCTCTTCGACAGTCAAGAGCAACACACTGCAATTTCAGGTCGAGAATGAGGATATTATGTCGTTGAAGTGGGCAGGGACAGCGACAACAGCATCAGTAATGGTTTGACTAAGAAAGGCTTCTGCAGTTGCCTTCGGTTTGGTGAGAATCATCGAGGAAATCTCTTCAGGAGTTTCAAATGAAGGTGATTAGTCTGGTTCTAGAGGATCGGAGGACATAATATGTGTCAAGGGACATGAGATCGCTACTAACGATTCCTTTTGTTCGCCACGGTAAGACTTGGATGGCGAGCTTCGCTGCCTCTATTTATGAGTTTGAAGGGAAAATACCTAGGATCAGACTGGATTTCATGATCGTCAAACTTTGGCCCAATCAAACGGTTGGCATTGGAAAGTCTGGAGAGCGAGGTATAGGTTAGGGTATGAAGCACACTATATGGCCAAGACTAACGTGTTATGAGGATTCATAAACGTCCGGTCCTTGGCGGCATCGCCAACCAGACGCATGGTTTCAGTGAAGAGGGCATAGGATGGTGTTGTAAGGTTGCCCTCTGTTGACAGTTAACAGACCCGCGATCATTCTGCCGACGCCGACGGAAGAGTAGGTAGTCCCAAGATCAATTCCGGCGGCTTTTCTTGATGCGGAAGAGCCGCAGGAAATAGACTAAGGAGGGAAAGAAGGCTGAACCTATTTCAAAGCACAAAACCGAATTACGCGAGGCAGGATCCCAGCCTCTACTCAAGTAGAGAATTACGCACCCGGCGATTCCTGAGCTACGGGAGTTGAGTCATTCAGAGACTTCCATACGTACGAGCGACTACTGATGGAAGAAAACTTGGGAAAGAAATTGTAAATTTTCAAGCTGTCATTGCAACAAAAGTGCAATTTCTTCATTATAACAGAGAGGGGAGAGACCCATCCACTGATATCGCGGACGAGTAGCGCAGTGGTAGCGCAACAGCTTTACAGAATTGATCTTGGTCCAATTCCGCTGGAGGTCGTCAGTTCGATCCTGGCCTCGTTCAACTTTTCGGATTCTTTGCATATCTTCGCGTCAGTTCCTCACCAAGTTGCTGCTCGGATGTGCCCGCAGCGAGTTCAGAAATTTGCTCTTTTTGATTTTAAGGATTTACTTTTTTGGGAATTAATCTTATCGCAGGTCAGGTGCACCTTTCACCAGTGACGGAGACTTGCATGCCTCAATCGGAGCTTCTTCTCATCAAATAACTCCAAATTCTTGAGAATCGGGGGGTTGCTAGGATGGAGTGGCCTATGCCTGGGCCGAGAGCCCATCAAGTTTCTAAGAAACGGTCCGTTTCTGTAATGGGTAGTACCAGCAATATTGCGTCCACTTCTGCATCTACGCCTAGGCCCACTGGTACTACTGGAGAAACCACTCTTTTGCCTAGTGATGGTCTGGATGGAAGGAAGGGAGCTGTTGAGGAGGAAGACGCAGAAGTGGAAGAACTGGCAGCGATGCTGACGCCTGGTTTAAACCTGAAGGGATCAGAAAGGTTGGATTTGGGCCTGGGGACGCTTGGTGCGGGGCTGTTTACACCTGATTTGGGAATGGAATGGATCTTTACTTCTTGCGGTCGAGAAGGTATAGTTTCCTCATGCTGCACCTACGTTGTAATTGGTGCATACCAGCTGAAAATGGTTTACGCTGCGTATCTTTTTGTTTTCTCTCTATGATCAGGGACGTTGGAACAGAGCTCGTTGATCAAGCAGATTTCGCCACCTACCAGGAAGCAGTGGGACACTGTGCTTGAGTTACCACTGTCCAGGAAGGTGGATCAAGGGGTGCGTGTGCTTGGTTGGTTCTTTGTTTACTCCTTCTGTATCCCCTCTCTTTTGCCCCCCGTGTCGTCTGAAAAACTAAACTTGGCTGCCCAATTCAGATAAGCTGGTTAAGGATGTCTCATCCCGAGATAGATGTTCCCCCCGAGATAATATATAACGAACTAGGGGAAGGGTTCGCGAATACAGGGCTAGATTCTATCGACCTATCATTAGGGAATCGCTTACAAGTCGTCAAGTTTTATGGGACGAAAGAAGATGAGCAAAAGGAGGACAAGAAATTCGAGAAGTGGAAGACGGATAGGAGGCGAAGGAGGAAGAAGAGGATAAAATCGACGGCGAAGGAGTTTGGTGTGGATCTGCGCGATTGGGAAGGTGTTGACGAGGATTGGGACGACGTGAATAATAAGGAGGAAAAAGAGGAGGAGAGAGAGGCTGAGAAGAGAAGGATGAAGCTCAAGGAGGGTATTACGTGTTATGCTGTGTATGCTGCTGGTGCGATTGGCCATGAACTTCGTTGAGTTTTTAGTATCATTTTCTTCGGGTTGTTTTGGTTCTCTGACACATCTTCCCTTTAAACTAGATGCCGTTCATATTGACCAGAAGAAACTTGCTGCAACAGGAGACGTCAGGAAGGTGATGATGCAGACGGAAATCCTCCAAGTAGAGAGATCACACTTTTTTCATAGAGGTGAGTGTTCGTCATTATGCATTTGATCTTTATGCCGGACGATCTTTCTTCTGTCTAGAGGCTTGTCTGGTAGCATGCAGGACTTCGGGCTCGTTAGGCCTATTCAGGCTTATGGAACAAGACTTTTTACCAGGTAGTGCTTCCATCGAAAAAATTGGAGAAACCGTATGGAGTAGTGTCTGTAAAGAGCGGAGAGCAATTGGAGTGGACATGGCATTAAGCCCGTACGATGCATCCGATGCCTTAGTCGTTTCGAATAAAGGCACGCTTCACCATTTCGATGTCCTTTGGCGAGGAATTTCATTGTGAGTTGGGATTAGAGGATTTCGTAGGTCTCCTAATATTGTTTTTCAGGGACCATCTGTGCGAGACACAACAATCTGTGTTCGATGACTGTACGGATGGGAACAGGTTCTGGAACGTCAAATGGGGTACGAGGAAGCACGACGCCCTGATGTCTGGGGATAAGACCTTAGCCAGAGTCGACTTGCGAGTGAGTGCGAACCCAAACGCTTTTGTTCTTTTTCCTCACGGAATGCCCAGTCGAGAGATTTTTCTGCGTTGTTTAGTCTCGGACCCGATCGTCGCATACGGGAAGCTGTCACTTCCTTCGATTTTGTCGATGTCAATACAATATGTCTCGCCACAACGAACCGAGTATGTTGGATTGACATTCGATTCCCCAAGGAGCCTGCAGTTACATACGAACATGGTCGAGTGTACGATCGAACCCTTAGCGTGAATCCGGTTCGTATTGGAGATGGTATGTGCCAAAAGTTTGTCTCCTTGTGACTTACTTCTAATATGGTCCCTGAATCGATATCAGGTTCCCGGGTTCTTCTCTCGTCAAACTCGGCTCCCGCCATTTCTATCTACGATGTTAGGCGTTCAACGGAGCATTCAAGACGAGGATATTATCGAGCCTACGGCTCACCTAGTTACTTGCCGGGCGCTTTCAGTTCGCTTTCACACACGGTTCATCGTTCTGGGATTGCCTATGCTCCGCGTGTCGGTCATTTTGGGGATATCTTCGACGATTCGACTGTGGATTTGCTGGAACTCTCCGTCGACGGAGAGTTGGCTGTCCGATCTCTCTCCTTGAAGCAGGAAGGACAGCAGTTTGAGCCGACGTACCGTAACAGATACGTGGCGCTATCAAAGCCAGTGCCTGACCGTGAAGTGAAAAAAATCGTCGACTTCCGGAAGTTTTACAGATGTCAGTCCTCGACGTGAATGCTCTGATAAGGTTACTAACGCGATTCGCAGGGCTATTTATGCAGGATGTGTGTCGTGACGAAGTTGATTTGGACACAGAACGCATCCAAACCATTATTCGCAAGATGCCGGGTGTTTGGTATAATGGAGAGTGGTCTTTAGATGCTCCCATAACCTTGTTGGTTCTTATGCTTTTTATGTCCATGGGGGCGAGGCTGACACATGCTTTAGACTTGACGCTGCCTTTCGATCACGCGAAAGGGACAATGTCAACTCGGGCTCAAGCTTTTGGTCGGGGTCAGGTTTGCGATACGATTCGTACATGGGGGAACCTTCTTCACGAGTTCCTGAATACATCAAGGGTGGAGCTAGCTGGTCATATGAAGTGAGCCCGCTCATCCGGAAACTCGACCCCGAGATGTCGTTACTATCTAGCCACGCAACGCTTGACCACCTCATTCCCTACACCTCAGTTCGACACCTCACAACGACAGATGGCGAACTTGACCATGTGGGAGTACTCAAACGTCGAGACATGGCGGCATGCAAGCAGTTAGCTCTGGATTTGACCTTTTCAGAGTCTATCTATTCGTTCAACAGACCCTTCGCTTCTTATTTAAACGATCCCTCATCCCAACTCCCGGACGGTTCACATGGACTCACCTTAGCTGCTCAGAGCATGCTATTGTGTGACGGTGAACCTCCTGATATCGACTTTGGCTACCTCAAACCTCAATTCTCGTCTGATGAAATCCTAAATGATGACGAGGCGATGGGGGACGTCTCGTCACCTCATCGGCATCGTAAAAGCAAAAATTTCACGCATCCTCTTGGTGCAAGGCTGATTCTGTTGGAATGGCAACCAGACACGACAGTGGATTCGTATGTGTTTAAAGACCCATACGATACGGCAAGCGGGTATTGGCGGCGGTATATCCCCGGCATGCATCAGAGCGCCGCTTCCAAGGAGCCCACTTTCCGAGGGCTTCGCTCCCTATCTCATCCAAAATCACGATCGAGAAGCTTACCACCTTCTCGAGCCCCTACTGTTGCGTCGTCTCGAATGAGCAAGGCCTCCCAGCCCCCTACCGTAGCCTCGTCACAACCAGTGAGCATGGCATCCCAACCCCGTCCTATTGCCTCGTCGCGAGCAGCGAGCACGGTTTCCCAAGCCCCTTCTGCGCGATCACGGGCGGTCAGCCTAACTTCCCTGAATCAAACACCTATTTCCACGCCGCGACCGGAGAGCTTGGGGCCCTCTGCTGGTAGCTCACCACCGGGAACTCCTGTGACTATTGCATCTTCGCAACCGATTCCCACTGCACACCAACTCCATCTCACTCCGAGGACGAATCTGGGGGATTATCAGCTCGACTACCCTACCAGTGAACCAAATGACATTGATTCACGCTTGACACCCGGCTTACAGTCAATGGTTCGGCGGTCCAGCTCCAGACCAGTCGACGGCGCTCCACCGAAAAAGAAACCGAAGAGGGTGGAAGGGTTTTGAAGCGCAAGCTGATTTTCTCTACCCTCACACTTTTTTCTCACAAGTAGTGTACACATATGCACCCATATAATGAGTAGTAAATGAACAAGGAAAAGAAATGGTAATTTAAAACTGCAAAGTAACCCGCGAGGACAACGTATGGAAAGCAATAAAAGAACTAGCAAGGCTGTGCACGGAGTCTGAGCACACGATGTTAGTAGAGCATGTCTGTCCTCATGAACCGGTATTATATGGAAACGAATCCCATTTAAACCTAGACGGTTATCCATGAATGTCAGCGTGGAGCTGGAGTCAGTTCGAAGGTGGCAACGCACATATTGGGAGAGCCATCGGAATCCTAAACAAAATTTCATGGGAATGAGGTAGAATAACGAGAGTAACGCATACCTTCACCGTAACCCATTCGCTGAACCACGGAGCACATGAAAATCTCAATTGGACGGATGTCCTTCAGAGGCACTTTGCCCTACACAAATAATCAATCAAGATAATCGTGTCTCCTAGCGAAATATCACGTACCTTCCCAGTTGTCTGATAGAGACCGAGGTGATGTCTCAGCTCCTCTTCACTGACAGCACCAGGCGCATCGATTTTGTTCCCAAGGATGAGGAATGGGACTTTGTTGAGCTCCTCAATTGATAGCAGGGAGTCAAGCTCGGCTTTCGACTCGGCAAAGCGCTCAAAGTCAGCACTATCGACAAGGAAGACAATACCGTCAACTTCGGGGAAGTAATCCCGCCAGAGACGTCGCGCTGTTCCGGGTAAGGACGATTTTTAAGGGAAAGAATGATGTGAGAGTGTTGTCAAGACGCGACATTTTGGATCAACGACCAACCTTGCTGGTGCCCACCAAGGTCATGGGTGGTGAATCTTACATTGCCGATGGCCAATTCCTCGGAAGCTGATGTGAAATGAGCGCGGGAACGTGAAGGATCCACGTCAACAAAACATTGAGAGCCTATTTAGGATTTAAAAACGTACTGGGATGGAGGGTGGGTTGCAGGGTAGCCAAACGGTCATTCTTGAGCATGTGGAGAAGGGTCTGTTGACGGGAGGGACACGTTGACGGTGACGACGTCGACCGGATGAATCATAGCCCTAATTAAACGCATAGTGACTCACGGTCTTTCCAGCATTATCAAGGCCCAAGAAAAGGATCTTGGCGTTCTTGTTTGCAAGACCTAGAGACGAGTCGTGTCCAAGGAAGCGAGGAAGTGAAGGGAGATGGGAATGGAGAGCAGCCAAGTAATGCCTCGTGAGCATCAAAAATTTTTGCGTGCCTCAGTACCACCCACCCAGTTGGGCAAGAATGTCCCAGAACCAATCGATAATCCACATTTTCGAATTGCGGGAGGGCTTTGGGTGAGGGCAAGGCGTTGAAGCGCGTAGTCAGTGGCTTGGAATCTCAATCGGAAATTTCCGCAAGCTTCTCCCCCAAGCTCCTTTCCCAGAAAGTTTGAATTCTGAGTTCTGGAGTAACCAACTGCGATCTTCGCCACCCACGATGGTGAGCGCAAGACGCGTTCCACTCTTCTATGCGCTTATACACCGATGTTCGAATCAGAGTCAAACGGTCGATATCCCTCAATCTCTCAAGGTAGGCACTCATTATCCAGCCTCGACCAAGGGATATCGATTCATCTGAGCTTGATATTTTGGTTTTTCTCTTCATCTCTGTAGGACTCGCTTCGGAAGTTCCGGTTTGCGAGGCGAAAGCCGGGCTCCGGCCATGCAGCACTCGTGAGTGGGTCTGCGTCTTTCCAGAAACTTGGTCATCTCCATTGAATTTGCCATGTAGTTAAAGTAAATAAGAAAACGTTGCAAATGGAGGAAGAAGACAACTATGACAACATCCCCTTGGAGGACCTTGCTGAAGGTTCGCACCCATCCCTTGTCACGCCATTATCAAGATTCAATTTGGCACCTGGCAGAGCTTCCAGAGAACGCACCTCGATATGTGGTATTGTCATATGAACTATCTCACCCAGATGGCAGGACTTCATACCCCCTTGTGCTTATCAATTGGGCCCCTGCTACGGCTGAAACTGGTTCGCTGACACTGCATGCGTCCGCTCTCATTCCTTTCCAGAATGCAGTAAGTGCCGATTGAAGAACTCCTTGGCTATTCAATTCATGGTCCCTTCATGCACAGTCGGATGTCACCAGGGTAAGTGTTGCGTGTTTCTTGGCGTGAATGGTGATACTGAAAATCGCGTCCCTCTTAGGTCATCGAAGTACGCGAGAACGTAGAAGAGTCCTTGACTACGGAAGCCCTCGATAAACAACTCCTTCCAAAGCATTGAAGGACTCCACCGATGCTTGTTCACGATGACATTATGGATAATGCCACAGCCTCTGAATTTTTAGCTAAGGGGTTGGACTGCTGGGTTTGTAGATGGATACCAATGACCTGTACTCTGTAGAATGAGCTGTACGTATGTTTGGATGAGTATAACATTGGTGAATACTTCACGTTTCAATTTGTAGACCCTCTCGACAGCATCTCGATCACCTGATCGATTCAGTGGCTTAGAGTTAGACTTAAGCGCCACCTTCTGGTCAGGACCCATTTATTCGGAGTCGAAGCATCCGTTGAACTGCTTCAGACATTCGAGATGGCGTCTCACACGTTGGTGCATATATGTTCCTATAACTCGAACATGCAAGGCGATGCCCTTGCTCAAGATCTGGTGGACTGGCTGGCACCCACCCTCACCACGTCCACGTTCCTTGCAAACCAGAGTCGAACCCCAGATTTAGTGGTAGTCGGATTCCAGGAACTTTTACCGCTGCACCTGGGATGTAAGTCCTTCAGCTTAGGACACTTTCCATTTCCCTCAACCCTTAGGGCTGATAAGTTACTGGACGCTCCGGTCCGGCGTTGAACTCGAGGGACAAGTTGATTCGAAGAACCATTGAAGAACATAACAAGGCACCTTATAGTCTTGTTGCTAAGTTTGCTAATGTTGGTGTGGCAATACTGGTCTATGCTAAAGACGAAGAGAATGGGCTTGCGCGACGGATACGCGATGTCGAGACCGAATGGGCTGCCTGTGGCCCGATGTGGTTGGGCAACAAAGGCGCTGTGGGGATACGGTTCCGTGTCGTCGACTCAGGCTCTCCTGAATCTGCGGGAGAAATATATACGTAAGGCCGCTTTCGCATCTAGTGTTTCCTTTATGTAACCCATTCGAATGAAGGTTTGTTAACGCGCACCTAACAGCCCATGCACAATACCTAGAACAAAGGGTGCAAAATTTCCAACATATTGCGCGAACGATGCTCTTTAAGCCTGTCCACCCCTCCACCTCGAATATCGCGTCCACAATTTATGACACAACACACTTATTCTTTTTTGGAGACCTGAACTTTCGCATTAGTCCTCCACCTCCAAAGGCACTTACCCTTGCTGAGATCATCAAGCTTAATACTACCGTGGACGGCCGAAGGGAACTGATCAAGCATGACCAGTTGAAACAGGTCATGGCTGAAGGCCGGGTCGGTTTTGGTTTGCGAGAAGGCGAAGTAGAACAATTCCCCTTATCCTATAAATATGATATTGGTTCTGTAACCGAATACAAGTCAGTCATCTTATCAATTTTTATGGATTGCCTGCGTTTTCTTACTCCCGCTCTGGCTTTGATAGTGCCTGCCGTGTTCCATCCTGGACGGACAGAATTCTTTATACGACGGCTTCTGATGAACCCTCAAACCCCACGCAATCGAACATAAAGAATATCCTTTACACCACCATCCTCGCATTCACAAAATCGGACCACAAACCTGTAACTGCTCTTCTCCTTGTCCCCTCACCACCCGCGGGAGGGTCAAGGACATCACCAGCTTTGCTCACCCCGCCACCAGCGCACCTGGATTACGTCCCGTACCACTCACACAAACTAGCTGGGAAAGTGATAGGAAAGGCGCTCGATTATGCTGTCGGGTCGGTGTGGTTCACCTTGTGGGCGCTTGGTGCCGGACATGCAGGGATTGGCATAGTTAATGCTATTCTGGTGATGATTGCAATAATTTATTGGAAGAGCGGGTGAAACCTCCCAAGATCCCAAAGTACATGCTTCTGCGATTTTGTCTCAGGGTCTTCGTTTGTCAACATTATTCTTCGTACGTTCTGTTCTCTCGCCTTTCGAAGACATCCTCAGTTTCGGGTTCCCTGATGCAGCAGGTTGTGAACGATTTTTGTAGTATAATAATATGGGCTTCTCAGCAGCACAGGGTGTCTGTTTACCGTCGCAATTCAATCTTTTTTCAGTTTGGGCACAATATGTATATGCTTGTTAGCGCGTAAGGGAGAAACCACAATACGATCGACATGCACGGTATATAGGATCGATAGAACCCGAGAGGCAACTACGCGTTCCTAACCCCAAACTCTGAGTCTCAGCATGAGCACGAGCCAGCTAAGGATCCTGACACTGGAAATGTTCCGTGACACGGTCGATCGGTTATGAATTGTGGCCGGAGGTCCCACAACTGGTGCCATTAACGCACAGACTTTGTACAAATTTGTATATATAGCTCAGTTCTGCGCATGTTTTACCTTTTTCTTCAGACCACACTCACGCAGGATACATTCACAGTTGATTGCAAAAAGTTGGTCGAGGACTGTAATTATCCTCATCTACAAACACCAATCGATGAAACCAGCTTCACTGTCTTTATCCGAGAACATGCTCGTTACCTTCTTGTGGTGGAGTAGGAGAGCTCGATGACAGATCCGTTCTGGACTTTTCCTTCGGGTTAAGCTCATTACCGGGGACAGTTGAGGTGCTTCTGATGGTGTTTATTTATCTGTTTTCTTGCTTCTTTCTTTCCTACTCTTTTTTCTGTGTGTATATATATATATTTATGAGTATGGTAAAGTGTTTGTCACCTTGTGTCTGTTGAGGAGTGAATTGGGCGTGGCCGCTTAGGTGAGGATTGAAGGAACCCTCCAATAACGTAATGTTGCATGCTTCCGTGTCTTGTTGTGCTCATCACTATCCTGGCTTCACTGGCTTACCTTCCTCGGCAATGGAATGCTACCTATATATACTAATCCAAACTTCGTGTTCGCCTGATAGCTGCGCACTCACCCTTCCCCTACATTCCTCTCATTGAGTCGTAAATTTCCCTCATTCTCAGATTCTTCCTTTTGTGACAACTCTCCACGAAGCCTGAAATGATATATGCTGCAGGGATATGAATACGATACGATACAGGAGAGGGGGGGAAAGCAATCACGTTAAGTACGTCGAATGATCCGCTGAGAAAGAGCGGATAGAAATGCAGCGCAGGGAAGATATACCCATCAACGATACAATAGCAGCTGAGAAGCAGTAACGAAAGCGAGCAGACAGAAGGGTGGAAAATGCCCTCGACTGGTGGAACATGAACGAGAATGTGGGGCAACGTAATGATAGATGGGGCAGGCACAGGATGGTAAGGGATTGTGAGATACAAAAAAAAAAAGAGGGCAAGACGAAGCTGAGAATCAAATAGCGTAAAAATAGGGTGAACAGAGTGAACGAAACCTAACGACGAGAGATGGATGGGTCAGTAGCACGCAGACGAGGTGACTAGTAACAATGCGTCAGAACCTATACATAATACAACATAGAACGAATTGAGAGTTTGGGCTGCTAGCGAGTGAAGTTTCCAACTGCTTGGTAAGGGAAAGCAGACGAGATCCGAGTTGGTGTGTTCTTGTGGATCCTAAGCGACGGTGTTGGCCGGTTTCTAAGGCAGCGCAACACCGCTTGCAACGGAATGATAGTATTGGGGGAAAAGAGGCCGATGCTAGGACGGAAGGAGGCGAGGCGACGGGAGTATCCCCAGGAGAGAGGAATAAGCATCACCCGCTCCCAATACGCTCTCGATCTTTCTCGTCCTCTCTCCGATGCCTATCGGTCCTCCAAACTATCCATTCGAACTTGGCCAAATTCCTTCCCCCCACTGTTAAAGGAACTGAGCGTGAAACTTGGACTGGTGGGGGGACAGGCGGCTGTTGTTGCTGGTGATGGTGATGATCGGAAGAAGGTCCGTACTCTGGGTCGGTCCATTGGACGGACGTCTCCGAGGCCGCATCCACAGCATCACCACCATCATCGTTCCCATACCCCGGCCATTAGAACTTCCTCTCTTGAGCCGACGACGACGATCACGACGCCGTCGTCCACGAGAGGAGGAATACTGATATGCCAATATCACGTAAACCATAATGGACGTTGGCATCATACCCGACAGTTGGGAAATCATTGCGCTGAGAATGATGAACCCACCACCACCACTACTAGTAGTCCCAGCGCCACTTTTGCGACCATTGTTGTTGTTGTTCACGATCGAGATTACACAAAAGATGAGATGAACGATGAGTGCGATGACGTAGATGATGCCTGTCTGCAGGACGATAGCTATGACGGAGGAGATACCGAAAAAATGCTTTCCCGGAGAAGGTGGCTGATGATGATGATGGCCATGTTGCTGCTGGGTTGTCATTTCCGTTGGACCTGTAGGGTTTTGGGAACGGAAAGAGGAGGAATGGCGGAGAATGTATCGCGTTTCGTACCAAATCTTGAAGAGAATAAGCGATATTGTGGTGATATTTGTTATTATGAAGGAAGAGAGGACCGCTATGACCCAACGGTTGGGCGCCCGTTCAAGGAAATAACCCTTAATATTCGAGTAGAGCGAAAAGACTGCCAGTAATGGAAAGTGAAGACCAAGGGGAGGAGAGGGTATAAATTATTGAATGTCGGTAACGCATTAACGGTTAGGAAGCGATATGCAACGTACCGATGGACAATGTCAGGAAGGTAAAGCTTGGGAGGCAAATCAATATAGATCTATTCCAGATGATGTAGCACCTCCATATAAGCACACCGCTCGCCAACGTTTTCTGGGAATTCCAAACCAAGAAAAAAAAAAAAAAGAAAGCGCGCGAATCATTAATATATCCAGAACGAAATAAAAATGCAGACGCTCCACATACGTTGACGATGATGAGATAGCTCAAGACAAGACTGATACGGCTCGAGAAAAAGTCGGAGTACCATCTCGTACCGGTAGCACCATCGACTTTCATCACGTTCCAGATGCGACAAATGTCCAGAATGACGAATGAAGTGGAGATGAGGAAGGCTAGAATTCCACAGGCGAATTGGAGAAGATAGTATGAAGGACGAAAGTGGAGCACTGTCCAGATGAAGAGGGCGAATAAAGAAATGTAGAGGCCTGGAGAGAGTAACACGAGGCGCAAGGAAATTTTTGTCAGTAATCCATGAGTCGAAGAAGAGTTGAGATGTGGAGAGAGCATCGGAGGAGAGTGTTGTAACTTACCGTAGAGAACCATCTCCACAATGGCAGCTATCCACAAGGACAGAAAGAGTGACATGGCTAGACCGGTCCTATATATCACACCCAAGCGGCCGCCCCGACTGGGCTATCTGCTGTCTGTCTATTTGCAATGCAATTTTGTGCAGCCAGTAGCTAGGCGCTTAGTAAAAAACGACCAGGAAATGTCGTCGATCTGCCCTTCTAGCAATCCTCCGTCGTCCGCGAAGGAGGGGGGAAGAATGAAAAAAAAAAAGAGGCAACGGCAAGCCCTGTTGCGTTTTCTTCAGCCTGTACTTTATGAAGTTTTCCGCTCGCTAAGGACGGCTAACCACCACAGCGGTGGGAAAGAAGGATACGCCCAATGGGGGGAAGGAGGGAATTGGTGGGTTGCCGTCGGAGAATGAGTGGCTGGCTGGCTGGCTGCCCAACCTGTCCCCATAATAATAATTTGCCGAATGCCTTTATGCCAAGGAGGGGAATACATTCAATGCGCCAATTCATCCCACACACACACACAGATCTTTCCCCCGTCCACGTGGCGATCAATCAATACATATATGAATTCAATTGACTCATAAAGCACACGTGAGAGCGTTTCAATTTCCTTGTCATCGACGATCGGCTCGGAGGGTCAAAACGAAAAACGAACGGTCGATCCCTCTCAGTAAAGCAGGGCAAGCACACACACACATCTGTCGCTTTTTTCCAAGGGTAACTTTGTTTATCCAAGCTCTCAAGAGACGCAAAATTGTCAAGCCCCCCCCCATCATGACGACGGTTTCTGACCCTGTGCTTCCCCCTCGACAAGTCGCCTCGCTGTTCCGCAACGCCCTGAAAGCCGGATCAAGTGCAAGTAAATACCCCACGCTTGACCCAACAGCACAGGCGAGTACAGTCCCCCCACCTTTTCACATTATTTACCCATTCTTCCTCCTCCTCCATTCGTTCACCTTCGCTTTTTTTTTCCACCCCATAAATTCCTCAAGAAACTCGTCTCTACCTCCATAGTACACTTTCGTCGGCTCCTTGCTCGTATACGAGAACTAAACTTGTTCAGTCTCAACGAGACGCTCGAAGATGTATCCACGAGAGATTTATTGTACATGCTTGCTCCATTTGCTTATGCCGAGATTCTGGGACAAATGAATGCGAGAGAAGTATCGAAAAGGAAAGACATTGTCCTTAACAGTGAGGTGAGTTGTTGTTACCAACGTTCGCCTTGAGATTGACTGCGCAAATGCCATATCTTGTTTCCCCTTCCTCTCTCCCTTTTCCCAAGACCCAACTCCGAAACTTCATCAAACTAGTCGAAGGGTACGAAGGCATCATCCCACCAGACGAGGCAAATCTTTCCAAGAAATCGGGCGCATTCGCCATCACCGACCCGTTCAAACGCCGAGAAGTGAAGATCAAGCAGTGGCAACAAGAGAAGGAGATCAAATCTAAGATCGAGGTAAATCGAAACCCAAACCCAACATCATGGAATTCCGCTTTATCTACAAGGGCGCTCGGGCATTTAGGCAATACGAACCAAACGGGAACGTAGGCGACGCGGCGCTGTCGATTCATCCCTCCCCTCTGAAGCTACCCTTTCGAATAACTTTGATCTCATCGGTTCTCTCCTCCCTCCAAAGCTATCCCACTCTGCAGACACACCACAGGATGATGAAGCTGGGAACTACGAAGAACCGTATGAAGAGGATGGCGTGCGTGAAACGACATTACTGCTTATCCGTTTATTTTATGGGCAAGCACACACGCAGCTGGAACAACTTGAGATGGAGGCGCAACTGTTGAAAAGTGCACCCTCAGACGAGGAGTTGGGAGGGGAAGACGAAGAGGGGGAAGGGTCAGGGGAGGATGACAGAAGGAGAAAGAGGAATGAAGAGGAGGACGAGACGTGGAAGTTGGATCCTCCAGTAGCGAGAGGCGGACCGGATGGGAGGGGGCCATTGTTGGATGCTCAAGGGAAGGCACGTTATCTCGTCTTCTTATGATTTCCCCTCATATTCAACGACTTCGCTATAGCCGTTGCGTCCATTCACAATTGTGTCTTCATCTTCTCAAGCGGTAGACCGGGCAAGCCTCCAAGAAAAAGTGTTCAGGGCGGATCATCGACTACCTACGATGACGATCGATGAGTATCTCGCAGAGGAGGCAAGACGAGGGAATATTATCAGCGGTGGGGGGTAAGTTCAGTTCTTCCAGTCAGGCGTAAACCTTCCAGCCATTGCACAAACGTGATCTTTTTTCATTTGAAATCACAAGGAGGCATTCACATGCCCCCAACTTCTTCTTCGTATTCTAAACTAACTTGCCTGGGTCTTCACCACAGACAGGCGTCTGCGGAGAAACCTACAACAACTGAACAACTTGAGATTGATTCAGAGCAGGATGGGACGATCTTTGGGGATGAGAAGAGTGAGGAGAAGAGGAAGAAGGATGAAGAGTGGGCGTTGTACACTGAAGAGCATGCGAAGGGTAGCGGAAACACTATGAATCGGGGCTGAAGGGAGGAATGAATGAATGATATGATTATGATGGTGTCAAGGGCCCAGGCCCAAAAAGCTTGGGCAAGTTTAATGAGATGACAACAAATTTGTCATTTTTTTTTACTCAGCTTTACATAATAATACGGCCTGATTGGCTTTCAAGGACACCATTTTTAACCGACATTACGCTGCGAAACAATCCAGATAGATTTGAAAGTAGTTTTGGGTGTTTGGAATTCGCATGGGACCAGTCGTGTTGGAGCTTTTGCACCACCACGAATGGCGCGTGGTTTATGCATGTGACGGGAACGTCATCATACATTCATGCCGAGCCATTATTTCACATCCGACCCGCTTCAAGTTTCATTGGATAATCAAATCGAGTTGACCTCCTTGCTTGGGGTACCGGTTGCAAAAAAACAACAATATTATTCTCCAAGCATATAAATCATCCCGTTGGTGTCGTCCCCCCTCCATCTCCCTTCAAACTTTGTCGAGTTCCCCCAGGTGGTGATAACTTCCTAACATGAAATTACTCGTCCTCGCTCTCCCCTTCCTCACTCGAGTTTCAGCTCTCACCCTTCCTCACACCGACAGCGGTTGGTCTCAACTTCGCGTCGGTCCTTTGACGTCAGAACACAGGACTTCGCCCCCTCATGAATGGCGCTTGAATTCTGTTTGGAAAACTATAGCGGGTGCTTTTGGTTGGACTGAGCTTGATGTCTTTGACGTTTTCGAAGGGGTCACGAAGGATGACCGACCTTTGAAGACGATCTGGGAGATCATCTCCGAGTCAAAGGAGTATGTTGTGTTTCGATTCTCCAACTTGCCTCATTCTCGATGACGACGCACTACTGACATATATATGCTCTAACAGTTTCACAAAGTTGACGAAGCTCATCAAATTAGATGACGAATTCCGCAAGAAACTTGACGAGTCTCATCATCTCGGGTGAGTGACCATGTATATATATCGCGCTTACACACACCTCTCTGACAAATTCTTCCCGTCTATAACCTTTCTCCCGATCATACCACACAGCTGGACTTTCTTTGCCCCAGATAACCGCGCCTTCCCTTCTCGCCCTCATCATGATGATCCCGACAAGGACAACATTCTTTCCTCTCGCGAAAATGCATTAGCTTACCTCCTCCAACGTGTCGAGTCCCTCGAGCGCTCTGGTGGCGGTGATGATGATGACCACGACGATGACGACGACAAGAAGCACAAGTGGAAGATCATCAAGGAGATTGTTCGTGAGGTTTTGAGGTATCACCTCTTACCATACGAACTGAACTATTTCCATCTCGGCTGGAACTCCAGTCGTAAGTTACCTTATCAAGGTTATTTAACGTTGATCCTCGATTTCCTTATAATTTACCATCAACAGTCGCTACGGATCTCGTCACTCCAGAAGGTTCATTTGATCATCAACCTCAACGCGTCAAACTCGAAAAGTCCCTAGTCCCTCCATCCCTCACACTCAACAAGTACGCACGTATCAAGCGGGGTGACGTGTGGGCTTCGAACGGTGTCATTCATGTCATCGACCACCCACTCTTCCCTCCATTCGGTGTCCTCGATCAGGCGTTCCTCGTTCCTCAGTATTTCTCTACACTTACGTCCGCTATCCAGAAAGTTGGTCTCGAGGATGCGGTGAATTGGTGGTACGAGCATGATAAGGATGACGATAAGGATAAAGATAAGATTAAGGTTAGACGTTTCGGTGGTGATGGTGATGGTGATAACGATCATAAACATCATGGTCACTTCGTTGGAACTCCCAGCGTCACCCTCTTTGCACCCACGAACGATGCGTGGAAAGCTCTTCCCCAGAAACTAGTCAACTACCTCTTCTCTCCCTTCGGCAAGCGAGCTCTCACCAAACTTCTTCGATTCCATATCATACCCGATTACATCGTCTACACCGAATGGGTCCACGACGTACGCAAGAAGAAAGATGTCCTTTCACTCGATGATCGCGAAGGAAACGGAGATGGAGTGTCGACCAAAGGAACCGAGTTGGACTTCGAATTCCCGTTCCCTACCGCTTTGAAAGGTGCCAAGTTGGACGTTCATATCGTCAAGACGTTGCCCAACTTGCCTCTCCCCGGCGGGGCTTCCTTCGATATATTTGTTCAGGGCCATCGTGTGGAAGATAACGATCTTCCAGCGAGGAATGGTGTCGTTCATGCATTGGGTGTCGTGTTGGATCCTAGGCCTAAGAAGGATAGGCAAGAGAAGGGTGACAAGGACTGGGATAATTGGGAGGAATGGTTGCCGAGGTGGGCGGAGGAATGATTTGGAAAATCATGGTTCTTTTTCTTGACGTGTGGGGAGCTACTTGCTACTACTTGAGCTAGCTTTCTCACCTTTTCTTTCGCATCGTCCTACCCTACCTTGAATGTTCCTCCCCCTTTTTTTTTTGTCCGGCAATGTTAAACAATTTTTTTTTGCCGCCGTATGTATCAATTACTTAGGGGGGCCAAAGTTGTACAGTATCAAACACCAATCCTGAATCGTTCAACGTTACGACGACTCAGTATTTTTCTTTTGTCGCCCTCAGGAATCGTGGAAGTGCGGGCCCGGTTCTGAAGTTAAACCCCAACCCACCCTCATGGTCATTTGAGTCTCTACGGGATGTGCTTGGGAGGGAGCCCATATACCCCCAGCTAAACAGGAGGGGTTCATTGGTAAACAGGTCTTGGCGCTCGCAGGGGTACGAGTCCATATCCCCAAAAAGGCTACGCATCTGAAGGATAAGCGATTTATTCGGTATGGACTTTTTTTAAAGAGATGATTTTGTCAGGTATCGAGGAGCTAGCTTTGGCAATACATGCACTGTGACATGTGCGCGAGAGTTTCGGGTGGTTGTCCCCCCCCCCCCCCCAAAGAAAGAAATCGAAAGGTAAACATATACAGTGGAGATATATTTTTTGGGCAAATGATAACGTCGTCGATCGTTGGCGTTATTGTAGGGAGGGATATGGGGCCTCGTTCAAGTAAGAAGGAGCCTGTAATGGCGGTGGGGGGTGAGTGGGGGGGTGAGGATCGACATTGAAAGTTACGGACGGACGGACGTGGAACCTTTGAACAAGATACAGGTAAAAAAAAAAAAACAAGGGGGGGGGGGGGGTGAATTCTACTAGAATCTGGATGGCTTGAAGTTTCTTGGAACGAACAAACAAAACGTTCAAGACTGCTGTGGCGGTGAGCGAGACGATCACGGCACAGTCGATTGGAGTTCTCTGCTGGTTTTGGAGAACTTCCCCCCTTACCTCCAGGGTGGTTAGCCCTCCCAAAAATGCTTTTTTTTTTTTCATTTTTGGTGAAACTGTATATCCCTCAGATGAAAGATGGGTTCCCGCATATAGTGATTCTGTCCCGATTGCACTGAAGATGTTTGAGCCCGCGATGCAACCCTGCAAGGGAACCTAACACCGCCATCGAGCATGAGAACCTCGAGCAAAGCAATGGCAATGAGTTGGCGATATAGGCCTCCATAAGAGGGATTATATAAGTCTGTAATTTTTTTTTTAAGGCCCCTTGACATCACAGTACGTTAGCAAGGCCTGCTGCCGCGCCAACGCCAACATCCTCGGCTGTAACTGCATGAGACCGCCGAAAGAAAAAGATGATTCGATCTCGCGGAATCGCAATGCAACGAGCGCTGGAGCTTTACTAAAGTGGTTTCCGCATGGATAGAAATGAGATCGAGCGAAGGGGCGTTCTGATCATATCAGGCAGCAGGCTTAGTAAAAATGGCATGATCTGCCATTGCGACAACCACGATAACAAAGTTGAGGTCGACATCCCTTTAATGATTTGAATTCTCGCGGGAAAAGGGATCCAGTAAATTTGGAACATCCAAGGTAAGGTCAAAAAGGATGTGAAGATGAGGAGTTGCAATCTTCTTGACCCATTGACGAACGCCTCGGAGAGGAACAACGACTAGTTGAATGGGCAGATCATTAATTGATGCGAAAAGTGTTCTGCGAAAGTAGCGTCCGGAAGGTCAAGTCGAGGAATACGACGACTGCCACACCTGTTGCCGGTGCCCCAGCTGGTCAGAGTGAAATCCCTAACACCAGACTCAACAAGAGGTACAGTAATAAATAACCCTGAGTTCCCATTCATTTGAGCCCTGGTTCAATTCATCCCACGCGAGGAGCGCAGCTAAATATACACTCCAATCTATAGAGGCTGGTATCCTGCCTAACTCCAATCGCGATCTTTCGAGGCCAAATATTGTACTCACAAGACCAAGAGCCGCAAGGGGTTTGAGCGTGACACGGGAGAGCCAGCCGCGGGAGAACTGGCCGGCACTTGCCTATACCATAACGGGGAGTCAAATCAAAATAATCAGTCACCGCGTTATATTGTAAATGTAAAAATTGATTCCCCCCCCCCCTCGCAAATTCCATGAAGTGTCAAATGGACAGCTTTGCTCTTTCCCAAAGACGTGTCAGACGCGTGTGCGATCTGGAGGAGCAGATGGCGATTTTCTGTTTTTGATTATATAATGTGATTTCCTTTTTTAGACAGGTAATTGAAATTATTGCTACTACAGTGACAAGGGCGCCTCCGACCTCAAAGCCTGCGTGATGCGTGACAGGTTCTTGGTCTTGTGAGTACAGTATGCCATCTCGTGGTACTGCGGACCGCAGAACATGCCGGAGCCCTTGGCAGTCAGCCACCCTCCACACCATCGTCTGGAGAATAGAAGGATGCTTGCTCGAACCATGCATTACCTTTTTAGGTCTTCTATCTATGTCCAATGATTTTATCCCTTCGAGACAGGTACTACTCCGTGTCACTTTCCACATCGGTGCAGTGACGTCTGTAAGAGGAATAGCCATGTTCGGCTGGAGCCTAACAACTACTAACCAGCGATAGAGTCATACTGGCGACAACGCTAGAATCTCTCCAATCGAATACAGGCTGAAGTGCCTGCGAACGATTCGGACGGGGGCGGTGTGGTTCTCCCCGGCGTTCGGATACGGCTGTGAATCCGGGATTAGTTATTCCAGATATCCTCTCACTCTAGTGGCAGCTACTAGTAGGATAAGTACTTCAGACGAACAAGCCAAGGCTGTGCCTTCTCTGCCCCCTTTCCCTTCTTGTCGGGCCCATGACGATGTTCCTGACAAGCGCAATATCGTCCCTTCTCGTGAAAATGCATTAAATTACCTCCGACAAAACGAGTCCCTCGAGCACTCTAGCGGTGGTGACAGTGACCACAAAAAAGGAAGCTTAGGTGGAAAATAGTTGTCCCTGAGGGTTTTGAAATTATCACCTCTTGCTACACGAAAATTCTGACCAAACTTCTTCAATTCCACATCATACTCGATTACATCGTCTGTATACAAGAAGAAAGATATCCTTTTACCCGATGATCATGAAGGAGGAGCCTATCGAGTGTCGACGAAAGGAGTAGAGTCGGATTTGGATTTCCCGTTCCCTGAAGGGTTGAAAGTTGGAGGTCCATCTCGTTAAGACGTTACCTCGCTTGCCTCTGTCTGCCAGCGGGGCATTCTTCGATTGTCCAAGGTCACCGTGTGGAAGCCGACGATCTTCCAGCGAATAATGGCGTTTTCATGTGTTGGGCGCCGTGTTGGAGCCTAGGTCCAAGAAGGGACGTAGGAAGCGATTGAGCTGCTTCCTCGTATCCCTTTTCCCTTTCTCCCTTATTCCCTTTAACACCATTCTGCCTTGAATGAGTGTTCTTCGCTTCTTATCCCGCAATGATCCAGTGTTTTCCATCACATGTATCAATAGCAAGGCGCGGAGCTGAACAGTTATTAGGTACCATTGACACACAATAATCGCTCAACGAAAAGACTGGTCATGCCCCCGGAGTCTCTGGTTCTTGCGAGACCTAGTGCTGAACCGCCCCCCCACCGATTCCTTGCGTCTCCCTCATAGTCATTTGACCCGCTGCAGGATGTGCTTCGCCGAGTCCACGCCGGGTGAGCGGATGATGCCTACGAAGAAACATAGGCCTAAAATCGGGGGCACTTGCAAGCAAGCGTCTGAAAAACAGCGAATGATTGGCGTCGCCCGACAGTCACCCTGGTCGGGAAAGAGCTTAGGAGATCCTGGGCGATCATTGGCGCAGGTGAAGGGTTCGAGTCGAGATCAGAAAAATCTGAAGCTGAGTGGGCAAGTTCGTTGGAGATATTGACTTTTAAGAGATTTGGTCGGGTATCAAGGAGCCTGACAATGCACTGCGAAATGCATACCCTGGCTTTGAATGTTAGCGTCGGAGACATTGAAAGGTATAGAGTCTCGAGATTTGGGCAGTGAAACGTCCACATTATTGTAGGGCTATTGGGATTCGAGTGCAAACCCGATGGTGGGTGACGATCGACATTGCATGTTACCGACGTGGAACCTTGAGGATGATACCCAGATGGAAGCAGATACTCTAGGATCCCGATGCTTGTTTCATGGATTGGGATCGATAAATGTTCGAGCATGTTGCAGTAAATGAGACAATCCTCGCCGAATCTCTTGGGTTGGTATATTTCCTTTATCTCCAAGGTGATTAACCTGCTCAAAATGCTTGCTATCTCCGGTGGAATTGCGAGTAAGAATGGGCCCCTATATAGTGAAACTGACGAAATGCACTGAAGATGTTTGAGTTGTGGGGCGACCTTGCAAGGGAACCCGGGTTCACTAAGCATGAGAACCTCGAGCTGTGGTAACGAGGAAAGGTATAAACTTGAACCGTGTTCGTTGGTGGGACGCATGAATTTGATTTCTAGAATTTTGAGGCGCTTGACGTTGTGCAGCAAGTTCGCTGCCGCATCCACGGTACCGACCGCCAAAGAAAGATGTTCAATCTCAGAATTGAAACGCAACGCTGAAGCGCTATGGCCTTCTGCATTGATTTGAAGAGAGCGAAGGCATTCAGGCAGACCTAAATCGACGGCCTGTTGCGACCACGACATAAGATCGAGCCTAACATCCTTTAATGACTGGAATTCTTGTGTGAAAGGAATCCAGTCATTTAGAAGATTAGAATTATAAACAGTAATGTCCAAGGAATGGCAACGATGAAGATGAGGAGTCGCAATCTCCTTGATGCGTTGATGAAGCACTGAAGTGGAATGGCAGTCAGATGATAGGGTGAGGCGGAAAGGCAACGCTTTTGATCGAGCTAGATTCTCTGAAAACCTCTGTAATTTCCCCACTATATTCCCATGCTCTGCCCTAATCCTAATATTTGTCCAAAGACGCGGTTCATTCAGCGCAATGGAGCGCCAAAATCGAGAAACGCTCATCATCGACCGAGGCACGCGGCAGCCATCCGAGCCAACTCCTATCGTCGTGTCATGGGACGCAATGACGAATATGTAGCAGATGATATCTATAGGCAGGCCATCAATCCGAAAGTATTTGGGAGCTTCGTTTTCCAAATGTAAGAAGTCCTGGTGATTAGAATCCATGTGTGTGCAGAGAGAGACAGTACTGGCAACAGAATGTACTGCAAGGTGCAGGAACTGATCAAATCAACGATGCGATTGGGGATGGCAACTGTTATACATACCCGCTGTGTTGAAGTTACGTACAACGTGGTCCCTTTGCTTACGTGTGACTAGAACAGAAAAGCGCACACACAGGACATTCATTCAGACGTGAATAGAAACGATAAGGTGGAGAAAGGGGAGGGAAGCGCAAAAGCAGCGATTACCGGGCAAGTGTGGACGATTAAAAGTTGCAGCCAAGAAAGCGGCACGATAGGTCACGGGTATGAGCTTTGGGAAAGAGCAGCAAATGGACTTGCTCACCGAGAGAGAGAGACGAGTTCAGGTGGATAGGAAGGGAGCGAAAAGGGACTATATAAGACCCCTTATACGTATAGCCTGGGCTAATCGTTGCGGTTCAGTACGTACCTCCGCTGCAGGTGCCCGCGCATCCGCACCAGAATATATACCCAGCGTACGACTGAGGCAAAGAAACCTGGTCCCATTAAGTGGTCAGGTTGCGCGGCAGCCCGTGAAGGTTGAACCGGCAAAGGAATGTGTGCGCGGCAGAATATGATCGAGCGGGCGAAACTTCAGCATCAGCAGGCTGATCGCAGACTCGTAGCCCCGTGATTAGTCTCGTGAAATGAAAACATTACAGTAAACAATAAAATTCCCGTTACTCTGTAGCGGGTCTTGTAAATTTTTCGACCCTGATCGAACGCGCTCGATGACAAGGTCCTCTATCACTGCCAATTCTAGATAACCCAGGGTCCTCCCAACTCACTAACCAATTTCTCTTATACCGCACCACTCTCGTGCCGTTTACTCAGCCTTCCCCCCTGCTCTTTGTACTATCGTCCCACTGTGCTGCTTCTCTCATGCTTTTCGGACCGCCGCTACCTTCCAGTTCCTCCACCGTTTGTACTGTGTCGCATATTCGTGATCGCCTACTTGCGCATATTCCGCTTGCCGACTGTTACCAAATTCCCGTCGGGCCTGCCCCTTCCCCCGGAGGACAGAAGAGTGGCGGGACCTGCCGCGTCAAGCGGTGTCCACCAGTTATATTGTAATATATATATAACTTCCAGCGAATCATTCGCTTCCATCCCTGCCGATCATGTCATTCTATGGATCGTCCTAGGATCCGGTAGAACATGTTAGAGTCAGCCATGCTCCACACCATCGTCTGGAGAATAGGAAGATGCTTGTCCATCCCTTCAAGACAGTACCCCATACCACTTCCCACATCGGTACAGTGACATCTGTAAGAGGCAATAGCCATGTCGGCTTATGGTTTGGGCTTCATTCGGACGAAGAAGGACGTCACGAGTGTTCTCAGATCGGACTTATCTGTTATTTTTACTTTATTTGCGTGTATTTTCTCGAGACCCTGCCATTGGCGCTCGTGTGAGCGTTAAATATCCAGAATAAAACAAACAAACAAACAAGCCATGTCGGCTTGAGCCCAACAACTACTGATCAGCGATAGAGTCATACTGGCGACAACGCTAGAATCTCGATCTCCCCAATCGAATAAACGCTGAAGCGCCTGCAAACGATTCGAACGAGGACTCGAGCGGTATGATCCCCCCCGACATTCAGACATGGCTGTCAATCCAGAATTAAATATTCCAGACATCCCGGCAGCCAGGATGCTTCAGATGAATAAGCTAAGGCTGGGCCTTCTCTACCCCAGATGGCCGTACTTTCCCCTCTTGCCGGACCCATGACGATGTTCCTGACAAGCGCAACATTGTATCTTCTCGTGAAAATGCATTAGCTTACCTTCGACATAATGAGTCCCTCGAGGACTCTAGCGGTGGTGACAGTGATCACAAAAAAGAAGCTTTCTAGGTGGAAGATAGTTGTTTATGAGGGTATTGAAATTACATACCACCTCTTGCCACACGAAAATTCTGATCGAATTTCTTCAATTCCACATCATGCCCGATTACATTGTCTACACCAAATGGATTCACAGTGCATACAAGAAGAAATATTCCCTTTTACCCGATGACCGTGAAGGAGGAGATCGAGTGTCGACGAAAGGTCGTTAAGACGTTACCTCACTTGCCTCTGTCTGCCAGCGGGGCATTCTTCAGTTGTCCAAGGTCGCCGTGTGGAAGTCAACAATCTTCCAGCGAAGAATGGCATTATTCATGTGTTGGGTGCCGTGTTGGATCCTAGGTCTAAGAAGGATAGGGAAGGAAAGGACAAAAAACGCTGGGGAGATTGGTGGGCGGAGGATGGGGAAGATGATTGAAGGGGAGGATTATCTTTTTCTTGACGTAGGAGGCGATCAAGCTGCTTCCTTGCACCCCTTTTCGTGCCATTGACACACAATAATCGCTCAACGAAAAGACTGGTCATGCCCCCGGAGTCTATGGTTCCCGCAAGACCTAGCGCCGAACCACCCCCCACCGATTCCTTGCGTCTCCCTCATAGTCATTTGATCCGCCGCATGATGTGCTCAGCCGGATCCGTGCCGGGTGAGCAGATGATGCCTACGAAGAAACATAGGTCTACAATCGGGGGCACTTGCGAGCAAACGGCTGAAAAACAGCGAGTGATTGGCGTCGCCCGACAGTCACCCTGGTCGGGAAATCCCCTAGGAGATCCTGAGGGATTATTGGCACGGATCGAAGGTTCGAGTCGGCATCGAAAGAATCTGAGTGGGCAAGTTCATTGAAGATATGGACTTTTAAGAGATTTGGTCGGGCATCAAGGAGCCCGATAATGCACTGTGAAATGCGTAGCCGGGCTTTGAATGTTAGCGTCGGAGATATTGAAAGGAATACAGTCTTGAGATTTGGGCAGTGAGACGTCGGCATTATTGTAGGGCTATGGGGATTCGAGTGCAAACCCGATGGTGGGTGACGACCGACTACCGACGTGGAACCTTGAGGATGAGACTCAAATGGAAGCAGATACTCCAGAATCCCGATGCCTATTTCATGGATTGGGATCGATAAATGTTCAAGCATGTTACAGTAAATGAGACAATCCTCGCCAAAGCTCTCGGGTTGGTATATTTCCCTTATCTCCAAGGTGATTAACCTGCTCAAAATGCTTGTTATCTCCGGTGGAACCGTGGACCCCTCAGGTGAGAATGGGTCCCTATATAGTGAAATTGACGAAATGCACTGAAGATGTTTGAGTTGTGGGGCGACCTTGCAAGGGAACCCTTTACTAAGCATGAGAACCTCGAGCTGTGGTAATGAGTAAGGGTATAAACTTGAACTAGCTTCGTTGCTGGGACCCGTAAGTTTGTATTCTAGGATTTTGAGGCCCTTGGCATTGTGTAGCAGGCCCGCTGCCGCATCCTCCGCATTGATCACCAAAGAGAGATGTTCAATCTCAGAATTGAAATGCAACGCTGAGGCGCTACGGCCTTCTGCATGGATTTGAAGAGAGCGAAGGCATTCAGGCAGACCTAAATCTACGGTCTGTTGCGACCACGACATAAGATCGAGCCTGACATTCTTTAAAGACTGAAATTCTTGTGTGAAAGGAATCCAGTCATTTGGAAGGTCAGAATTATAAACGGTAATGCCGAAGGAATGGCAACGATGAAGATGAGGAGTTGCAATCTCCTTGATGCGTTGACGGAGCACTGAAGTGGAACGATAGTCGGATGATAGGGTGAGGTGGAGAGGCAACGCTTTTGATCGAGCTAGATTCTCTGAAAACCCCTGTAACTTCCCCTCCATATTCCCATGCACTGCCGTAATCCTAATATTTGTCCAAAGACGCGGTTCATTCACCGCAATGGAGCGCCAAAATCGAGAAACGCTCATCATCAACCGAGGCACGCGGCAGCCATCCGAGCCAACTCCTATCGTCGTGTCATGGTACGCAATGATGAATATGTAGCAGATGACATCTATAGGCAGGTCATCGATCCGAAAGTATCTGGGAGCTTTGTTTTCCAAATGTAAGAAGTCCTGGTGATCGGAATCCATATGTGTGTGTGTGTGTGTGTGCAGAGAGAGACAGTACTGGTAACAGAATGTACTGCAAGGTGCAAGAACTGATCAAATCAACGATGCGATTGGGGATGGGAACTGCTATACATACTTGCTGTAAGTAAAACGTGGTCGTTCTTCCGTTCTCAGGACGAGCTAATGGCAAGTGTCACGCGCTGCGATCTCAGCTGTGTTCTATATATGCCTTGGATGTGTCCCTAACTCCCAGCGAGTCATTGGGCTCCTCCCGTTTCCATCCCTGCCGAACACACTGACCATGTCATTCTATGGATCGTAGTCACCTGCCTAGGATCCGGTAGAACATGTTGGAGTCAGCCATGCTCCACACTGGAGAATAGAAGGATGCTTGCTCGAACTACGCATTACTTTAGGTCTTCTATTTATGTCCAATGATTCCATCCCTTCAAGACAGTACTCTGTATCACTTGTCCACACCGGTACAGTGGCATATCTGTAAGAGGCAATAGCCATGTCGGCTTGAGCCCAACAACTACTAATCAGCGATAGAGCCATACTGGCGACAACGCTATCTCCCCAATCAAATAAACGCTGAAGCGCCTGCAAATGATTTGAACGAGGACTCGAGCAGTATGATTCTCCCCGACATTCAGACACAGCTGTCAATCCAGAATCAAATATTCCAGATATCTCGGCAGCTAGGATACTTCAGACAAACAAGGCCTTCTCTACCCCGGATGGCCGTATTTTCCCTTCTTACCGGACCCATGACGATGTTCCTGACAAGCGCAACATTGTCCCTTCTCGTGAAAATGCATTAGCTTACCTCCGACATAACGAGTCCCTCGAGCACTCTAGCGGTGGTGACAGTGACCACAAAAAAGAAGCTTACTAGGTGGAAAATAGTTGTCCATGAGGGTTTTGAAATTATCACACGAAAATTCTGATCAAATTTCCTCAATCTCACATCATATCGTCTACACCGGATGGATTCACAGTGCATACAAGAAGAAAGATATCCTTTTACCCGATGACCGTGAAGGAGATCGAGTGTTGACGAAAGGAGTCGAGTCGGATTCGGATTTCCTGTTTCCTACCACTTTGCAGGGTTGGAAGTTGGAGGCCAAGACGTTGCCTGGGCATTCTTCGATTGTCCAAGGTCACCGCATGGAAGTCAACAATCTTCCAGCGAATAATGGCGTTGTTCATGTAGTGTTGGAGCCTAGGTCTAAGAGGAACCCTGGGGCAATTGGGAGGAATGGTCGCGGAAGTGGGCGGAGGATGGGGAAGATGATTGAAGCAGAGGATTATCTTTTTCTTGACGTAGGGAGCGATCGAGCTGTTTCCTTTTACCCCTTTTCGCTTTCTCCCTTATTTCTCATTAACACCAATTTGCCTTGAACGAGAGAGTGTTTTTCGCTTCATATCCCGCAATGGTCCAGTTTTTGCCATCACATGTATCGATAACAAGGCGCAAAGTTGAACTATTAAGACACAATGATCGCTCAACGAAAAGACTGGTCATGCCCCCGGAGTCTCTGGTTCTTGCAAGACCTAGCGCCGAACCCTCCCCCCCACCGATTCCTTGCGTCTCCCTCATAAGTCATTTGATCCGCCACATGATGTGCTCAGCCAGATCCGCGCCGGGTGAGCAGATGATGCCTACAAAGAAACTACAATCGGGGGCACTTGCGAGCAAACGGCTGAAAAACAGCGAGTGATTGGCGTCGCCCGGCAGTCACCTTGGTCGGGAAAGCCCTTAGGAGATCCTGAGTGACTATTGGCACGGATCGAGGGTTCGAGTCGGCATCAAAAAAATCTGAGGCTAAAGGGGTATCAATTTCGCTGCATGTGGAGAAATTGACTTTCAAGAGATTTGGTCGGGCATCGAGGAGCTTGATAATGCACCGTGAAATGCGTGCTCGGGCTCTGAATGTTAGCCTCGGAGATATTGAAAGGAATACAGTCTTGAGATTCGGGCAGTGAGACGTCGGCATTATTGTAGGGCCATGGTGATTCGAGTGCAAACTCGATGGTGGGTGACGATCGACATTAAATGTTACCGATGTGGAACCTTGAGGATGAGACCCAGATGGAAGTAGATACTCTAGAATCCCGATGCTTGTTTCATGCAAGATTGGGATAGACAAGTGTTCAAGTACGTTGCAGTAAATGAGACAATCCTCGCCGAATCTCTCGGGTTGGTTTATTTCCTCTATCTCCAAGGTGATTAACCTGCTCAAAATGCTTGTTATCTCCGGTGGAACCGCGGATCCCTCAAGTAAGAATGGGCCCCTATATAGTGAAATTGACGAAATGCACTGAAGATGTTTGAGTTGTGGGGCGACCTTGCAAGGGAACCCGGTGAGTTCACTGAGCATGAGAACCTCGAGCTGTGGTAATGAGTAGGGGTATGGACTTGAACCAGCTTCGTTGGTGGGATCCGTAAGTGTATATTCTAGGATTTTGAGGCGCTTGGCATTGTGTTGCAGGCCCGCTGCCGCATCCTCGGTATTGACCGCCAAAGAAAGATGTTCAACCTCAGAATTGAAACGCAACGCTGAGGCGCTACAGCCTTCTGCATGGATTTGAAGAGAGCGAAGGCATTCAGGCAGACCTAAATCTACGGTCTGTTGCGACCACGACATAAGATCGAGCCTAACATCCTTTAATGACTGGAATTCTTGTGTGACAGGAATCCATTCGTTTGGAAGGTCAGAATTATAAAGGGTAACGCCTAAGGAACAGCAACGATGAAGATGAGGGGTTGCAATCTCCTTGATGCGTCGACGAAGCTCTGAAGTGGAACGAAAGTCAGAAGATACAGTGAGGTGAAGCGGCAACGCTTTTGATCGAGCTAGATTCTCTGAGAACGCCTGTAATTTCCCCTCCATGTCCCCATCCACTGCCGTAATCCTAATATTTGCCCAAAGACGCGGTTCATTCACCGCAATGGAGCGCCAAAATCGAGAAACGGTCATTATCAACCGAGGCACGCGGCAGCCATCCGAGCCAACTCCTCTCGTCGTGTCATTGCACGCAATGACGAATATGTAGCAGATGACATCTATAGGCAGGTCATCGATCCGAAAGTATCTGGGAGCTTCGTTTTCCAAATGTAAGAAGTTTTGGTGATTGGAACCCATATGTGTGTGTGTGTGTGTGTGCAGAGACAGACAGTAGTGGCAACAGAATGTACTGCAAGGTGCAGGAACTGATCAAATTCGTTGTGGATTCGCGAGATTCAGATGTTGGGTTGACCACCTTCGATACGGCGCTCCGTGTCGCTTTTCGGGCCGGCGCAGTGACTCCGTAAGCTCTGTCGGCCGGAGCTCAATGACTACTGAGGAATGAGGGGCGATAGGAGGCAACGGTGCTGATTGTTGCACACATTAATTTCGGCTCCGCCCTGTGGGTTTCACACAGCCATATATACACCGTTGCAGAAGTCGCTTGCGGTCTCGGGTGTGGGTGCACAGCTGGCTGTCATTAACGGATTGATCCAGGGGCTGGTCTTGTATGACAGAGTTCTGTACCGCCTTGTGCTACGAACATCGCCTTCTCCTGCGCTCCAACATGCCGATGCGATTCAAGCCGCGCTGCCAACAAACTGTGCACAGCCAGGGTCTCGAGGACTTTACGTACGATACAGTGACCGAAGGAATCTCAATTACAAAAGAAGCGCCCTAAACCTCGTCAACTGATGTTTGGGGCGCTTAATGGTTTGGGTCGGGATTTAACTGGCAACATGGATTTAGCTAATTCCAGGCCCTACCATCGCGTTACAGCGTGTTTAGATATCGATATTTGAAAAAAAAAAATGCGGATTGTACAGATGCAGACAAAGACAACAATAGGCAAACGATAACATGATTGGGGCCTCATACAGAAAAGAGTGAGCGTTGACGCAAGAGATGATGATTGCTCGGCCTGGCATGTGGAGGAAACTGCAATGTTGACTAACCAGGAAAGGAGGGTAGGAAAGGTGTGCGATTGTGGTGATCCACCAGTAGCTGGGCGTGAAGCAAGGTCTAGCAGAATTCAAAAGAAGATGAAGTGCGTTCGGGTATATGGGTGAGGGATAATTGCTGGTATCTGAGGATGAACAGTACGTTAATTGGAGAGCAACGAGGCTGAGAACATGTGGATGACGCACGGTTCGGAGTAAGGATGGAAATAGAAACCGGTCATGGTGGCTGGATCGCCTCCACTCGATTCTTTAATGGCGACATAATAGAAACCTGCAAAACTATGGAAATAAAGGAGAGTGACAAGTCAACCAATTGTCGGTAAGAGATGTGAGAAAGTATCGAAGCCATCAAGCAACGAATCATATGCTTACCTTGCGCCATTGATTTCTTTGGTTTTGTGATCAGGCACGAGGAACCTTTCCTTCCATCGCATGAATGTCACAGGTCTCTCTTGCTCAGAGATAGTTAGACCAGGTCGTTTGAGTTCATTTTTGAGCATCCGAAACGCAGGGAATTTCCCCCAATGTTTGAGGTCGTCCTGCTCCGTGGCACCCCAATCGTTTGAGGTGAGAAACCCGAATCGATGTCCAATGATCTCTGCGTCAAAATACGTAGTCATCACTGGATAGTCTTGTGTGAGGTTCTGAATGCGGAGGTAACCGCATAACGTCGAAGTGGACAAATTTACATCCTGTTGGCGCAATTGAAAAATGGAAGGATGTGGTGAGGTGCCATCAAACGTACAACTATAGTAACATGGACGTCGTAACTGTTCTGACCACTCTTCTGGCTACCAGTGAACACGGAGCCTGGGTGTAGCGCTGTGCCGGGAATGAATCGTGCAAGCACGTAAGACGAGCAAGTAGTTTAAAGCATTAAACGGAGCGGACATGGAAAACACGGTCACCACATACCTCCACGACCGGTTGAGCTCACGCGTAGGCGTGTAATATCTGCGCAAGGGCTAGGGATAGAATCTTCCACTGAAGTCGAAGGTGCGATGATCGTCTTGGTTCTTGGTCGAGAATGCACAACTATTTGCTGCGACTTCGATGACTCCACAATGGGCGGGGTGACGTATAAGAATGACGAACAGGGGAAAGTCCTCGAAGACACGTCGCAGAAGTAGGTGAAAATGAGGAGGTAGAAGGTGCTGGGGGTATATGCAGTGCAGGAAGACCTTCGACACCAGCCAAGGGCCACGCTTGAGTGGCCCCTTTTCGCCTCTGCCCCTTGACAGGGCCTTCTTCGGGCGATGACTCCGTCAATTCACCAATATCAGACGAAGACGAGCTGGCAGTTGAGGGGCGTCGCTTTCGGTCCATCGGACGACGCAAATTCTCCGTAAATGGCTGGTGCCCTGCACCGTGCTGGGAGATTGGAATAGGTTGCGGTCGTGCATGCTCTGAGCAAAGATACACGTTGGAGACGTCTCCGGGATGACTGGGGGCGGTGCCATTGCACTCGGGACACATCTTGAGCACCGAAACGGCTGGAGTGCCATAAGGATTGGGAAGGTGAGCAGGACTTGCTGCAAGCACTTGTTCCGTTCGCATCTTTCTAGTTCGATTGTCGTCGTTGTCGCTAGCGAGGCGATTGCGCGAACTGCTGTTAGGAATTGGGATGATGGTTTGGTTTATGAATGCGATGCAAATGAAGGTTTCGGCCCTCACGACCTACTCAACGCCACGGACAATGCCGGCACCCGATGTGGCAATTCTGCATCATAATATCCCAAGTCACGAATGACCGAGAAAGAATAATTACAAGCTATCTCCCAGACGGAGAACCAACTCGTGCGCTCTAGCCGTGCCAAAAATTACAACCCTACCGCCGGCGCAGTGCTGCCGACGTTGCCCCGGGTGGTACGGTCGAGCCGGAAAGGTCTATTAGCGCAGATTAAGCTGTGCACGAGATGGCATAGCACAGTCGGGCAACGGAAACATTGGATTGTTCCTTCCTTCCGTTTCGGCACCTCCATTTTAATCTTTCATGACCTCTCCCATCAACAATACGTCACTTCTTTCGTTTCCTGTAGCGCCCATCTGGTTTCCTGTATGCGCATGATCGTAAGCCCGATTAACCATGGGGGAATAAAGTTCCCCAAACAGAGCTTACTTCGCGTCTTCCTCGATGAGTTTACGCTTTTCTGCTCTCATCTGTCTCGCTCTCTCATTGATCTCCTTCGTTTGTTGTGTATCGGGGAAACCGATAGTCCTGGAATCAGAGAAAAAAAATTCTCTAACCCTTCATGCCTGCATCTATTAAACTACCCGAAACGCACCAATAGTCTGGTGGTGTGGAAGGCGGGGCCCAATTGTGCCGGTGGCGTGAGACCTCCTGCTGATGACCTTTGATCGTCCTATCCCTGTTTGGCGATGTGGGAGAGTAGGTCCCAGTGCGGTCCTGGGCTTTCCGTCCCGAAGACGGCGATTCCGATGGGCTCGGAGACCTCCACAGCGGAGGTTGAAGTCGGGACGGAAGAGGTCCGACTGCATCATAATACTGATTAACGGCGGGTGCACGTGAGATGATTGAGTACGTCTTGACGAGACCGATGGGACGGGACTCACATCGCGACAGCACAGGCAGTCCGTCCCATGGAGTTTCTGTCGTTCCTGCTTCTTCCGAACGACCCCGTCGAAGTGGTAGTCAAGCCCATCATTCTTGCTTTTATCAATTTCATATTTGAGGAAAATGTCCTCGTCTTCCTCGCCGCTTTCAGAAATGTTGAGAAAATACACTAAAAGGCTCTCGACGCAAGGTTCACCTGGCAGGCTGGTGCGCATACCGACCCCTCCCTTTGAATTGCGCATACTCCCGTTTGTATTCTTCATGTGTTTTCCCCTTCAGACTTTTAAAATATTGTTCCCGCTCTTCTTTGGTCATGGAAGTTGGTTCAGAGCTACGCCTCTCGAGCACCGAGGCACTTGAGTGAGATTTCCGGTGTAAGGATGAGGTCGGCACAGGAACAGCGTCGTCTTCCACAACAACACCCTCCTCATTATTGTACGTGGTGTCTAGCTTTGCTGAGTTAGGTAACCAAGGTTTCTTGGAGTGCCGTCGTGGTGTTGTTGCTGGTGAGGAATGTTGTCGCTGCAAACGAGGGCCCGGCGTATCGTGAATCCTTGGGGGCATCCGGGGTCCATCGTGAGGCTTAGATTCTGGTTCGGTCTCCGCATCATCGATGAACTCTTGAGGAATACGTTTCGGGTTGTGAACGCTTGTACTTAGTCGCGAGCGAGGCTCAACACCTGTGTTCCTTTCCCCTCGACGTTGAGACGTCATTTTGGTGCTGACCCTTTGTGCAGGGCTAGATTTTAGGCTTGCCTCTGCGATAGTGGATGATTTAGAGTGACTCCCAGACGGCGTCACTGTGCAAGGGCTGTAGGTGGTATGTGGAAGGCTCAGCAGGACCAGAACTAACCTGGCACCGACTCTAGTAAGGGTGATCGAGAATGAAGCATGTCAACGACTGTCGGCATTTCGCCCTGTGGATAAAAGACTGGCACGGGCGTCGACCCTGATCGATGGAGGTCCAGTGCTGGCATCGCAGATAGTCTAACTGCCTTATCAGAAAGTCATGTGTGCATAAAAAGCCCTCGCCTCACGCATCATTGTCGAGCTTTGTCTCGAGTGTGTGAGACTTCGCGCTTGGGAGGCCAGAACATATTGTTGGCGGGTTTTTCTCGATCAGTAGAGAGTCAAGCGCAGCGGCGCCATCAGTTCCCTCTCCCGAGTTCGAGACCCTTTGCATTCCTGCTTCGATACTACTTAAACTGACCCCTGGGGAAGACGGCTTGGGAGGAACAATACCGCCAGATCGTGTTGAGGAAGATCCTTCCGACGGAGCGCGACCCGCAAGTCCCTCCGCATCTTCTCCATGCCCTTTCAATGCCTCCGTTGCCGAAGAAAGCAGTTTGTTCAGCGCAGTTGGGCCGTCGTTTCCTTCAGAGTCCAGCGCCTGCTGCATTGCAATGATCTTTCGCTGTCTTTTGATATAATTGGTATTGGGGGGATCATTGGCACCATTCTCTGCGTCTCGTTTATCGGCCTCATATTCCTTGAGCCACCAGAGTTTGAAATTTTTCCACTTCTTCAGATGATCCGAGAATTTACGGGATATTGCACGTTTTTCGTCACGAAGAAGGTCGTATTTACGCTCCAGCTCAGCGTGACGGGCTTCAAGACGCGCAAGGGATTCAGCAGTGTCCGCAGTATTTTGTGAAGAGATGATGAGTGGGCTGTAAAGGCACTGGATCAGCAATAATGGAACGCAGCGCGTCACCAGTTACGCGCCTCATTTCGTCCGGGATGGGAGATGATAATTGCTTCTCTCTGGTGCCAGAACCAAGGTTGGGGACTTGGGAAGAAAGCCTGTTTTTCAGCTCTGCAATGACGATGTTTTTCTCCTCTATGCGCTCCTCATATTCGGATTTGAGAGCATCGACGTCACTGCTAGAATTAATATCCCTATGCATTGAAAGCGAGCCAGCTTCTTTCGAAAGCAAGCGCTCATTCTCCAGCTCATTGATACGTTTCCGCAGGATTTCGACCTCACTGTGATGCTCCTCATAAGATTCAATAGCTGCTTTTTGAAGCGAAGCTATATGTTTCCGAGCAGAATCCAGTTTCTCCTGAAGAAGAACTTCAAGAGGCGGTTGACTTTGGGATTCTTCAGCCTCTTGCACGGAGCGAAACCCGAGTTTGTCGGTAAGGATCCGAACTCTCTGCTCAAGGTCAAAATTTTCCCTTAAGACTTGATCCGCAAATTTCTGCGCGTGAATGAGCTACGAGGGGCATTATAATGCATTCCAAGTCAAGATTCGAGTCGGGCTGACCTTCGTGCGCAGATCCATGACTGCGGTGATGGGAAAATTTGGATAAATTGAAGTATACTCTGTTAGGGGTTGACTCACGTTCAGGCGACTGGGACTCCTCCATCCTACTTAACGCGGGACTTCTGTGCTTCTGAACAGGCGGTTACCAGGGGTGCTACCAATCCAATTGTATTGGTATATTTGGTTCGACGCGTCAAACATCTCGCGTCGCGTCTTCCTGATGGACTCATCCTCCAGAGATGAAGGATCACTGATAGAGATCGACACCTCTGCAGACTGGAAACGCATACAAGATCATTTCACTAATGCCATTCATGCGGTTTTAGACGCAGAACTGGACAAATCCGCGTCTAAAGGATCCCGTGATACGCTCTTGCAACACCTTCATCAGGTACGAATGCCCTACGGATGCTTTGCGTATGAGAATTAAAACATCAGTAGTGGAGAAATGAAGCGATGGAGTACGCTAAATCTAACATTCGAATTAATGGTGTTGACCCGGAGGAGGCGTGCGACAAGGAAGGTGAGACTCTTCGTCATGGGATATACTGGGATTTCGTCCACCTTTCATTTTCTGGGTAGACATGGAGCCTTATGATGAGGCCCTCAACGTTACTGTTTGGGCAATGGACAATGAGCGACTCGCATACGACCACGCTGTCAGCGAGAAGCGAAGAAGAATCCCTCGAGAAGTCAGGGATCTCACAGATGGGATTCTGGCCCACGAGCGCTCAGCCGAAGTCCAAGTTCCAGGCAGGGACTTTTGGGATGAAGAAAGAATGGAAGTTGACTTCAAACGTACGTACCCTTCCCGATCTTTCGGGTGAAGCTGGTGGCATTCAATTATGTGCAGCTCTGTTGTCGAATTTGGCGGAGATTGTGGAAACGCACCAGGTGGCTTTGGATATTGGTGAAGGAGTTAAATTAGTAAGTGTCACTTGCAATGCACGAGCCATGTTGCGCTGACGCCGCAGGACGTACAGAAAGGTCCGATTTTGGCTGTACGAGCGCAACGTGCATTGGAGGTTGTGACAGAAATGTCAACACTACCTTCATGAACTTGTTTTTCTCCTCTCCTAGAATCTGTACACGATTGACTTCTGAAGCATTTTTATTTTTATTATAAGCTGCAATTGAATATAGTTTTGTGCCATCAGGTTTTACATACATTTTGCATTTGCTTCCGCCAAGGACGTTGTGCCTCGAGGCCATTCCCCGCTGCTGGACAAATTCGTGTCGCCAACAGCAGCGGTGACTCCTGGGTCATCCTGGAAAGATTTCTACGATTCCTTGCACCACCGTAGAACGCGTTCTGTGTCTTGCCCAGCGATAGCCATTCCTGGGTGAAAGAAACGCGATGAAGGCATTGTTCAGTCGAATCAAGAATGGGGGTAGAAAGCCGGACAGCAAGGACAGAGACTCTATCGATTCTCGAAGTTTTAGAGAAAAGGCCCAGCCACCGCTGCCAGTCTCGGAAACTGATGCTGAGCCACTACCTGCGACGCCCTTCGGACACAACGATCGTGAACTTCCTCCCATAGCGGTTGACAATCAACGTCTGGATGTATTCCCTCCGTCCGTGGTTCCACCGATATCCGCTTTTTCAACTCATTCGGATACCACTGGTCCTTCTATTCCCGGCTCGTCGCGCCCAACAACAGATAGCGTATCAGATTCTCAGCCCTCCCGGGCTTTGCATGAGCCTCTGGCACAGAGCGATGCGGCGCTATCGTCTAAAAAGGTTGCATTTGCGTCGTCTAGCTCGTTACCATCAGAAAATGCACCAACGCAGCATTCCGGACAACGCTCTCAATCAAATTCTACTGAAGCATCAAATCCGGGTCCTATCGCCCGTGGTCCTACTTTCAAAAATCCCGTCCCAAACCAGCGCACTGTCAGCACGCCTGCCACTCCTCGCAATACCTCAGAAACGATTCGTGCTGCCAGTGGCAGGCCCGGTATACCAACATCACCTGAAGCTCAGAGTAATTCCTCTTCAGCGCATAGAACCCCATCTTCAGATACCCAACGCAAAGCCTCATCATCCCGTACAGCGCTTGTTCACAGTCCCACAGCTCGGAAACCAACTTATGCAGCGTCCTACATTGCACAACAAGAGGTTCAATCTATGCGGTCTAGTAGCCCCATGTCCTACCTCAGCAACAGGACAAGCATTCAGGCACCAGCCAGCTGGAGTGAGGCAGCAGAGGAGGATCTGGTTTTTAACCTTGGCGCTCGTGAGCGCACGCGTCAAGAAGTCTTATGGGAGATAGTCGCCAGCGAAGACCGGTGAGGAAATTCTTGCAGTACGCTTGGAATTAAATTCGAATATTCACTTAGATACGTCATTGAGTTGCTGAAGATGAAGGAAACGTTTATCGATCCTCTCTTACATCCTTTCTCGACCGCACCAGTAACAGCACCATCACTCCTTGATGTGGTGGAGGATTTTTACCTCCGTCCCGAGACTCCCTACATCCCACCCCCAGGGGGTGTAGAAAACCTCCCCATTGCGTCTCGATTCTTGAGCTCGAATCCAGTTTTTCGACCCAATTTCAGTTCCCAACCACAACGGAGTCCCATCGGAAACCAGACGCCTGTTATTCCGGCCCCCGACGGCGAATCCTCCGAAGAGGATGAGATTGGGCGTGGATATGCCACGGGGAAAAATACAGTGCCGGGGACAACCAATTCCCCATACGCCTCTGGGGTGGGTGGACGAGTTGGGAATAACGCGAAGAATTTGCCTTTTCCATCCCGTTCGCATGTATCGCTCCCACCACCTCCGCGTCAAAATCCCCAGGCGTCCACGGCTTCACTCGGACGACAATCTGTGATATACAGCGCGGACCAACCCTATCGAGGTGGGGCACCTCCGTCAATTACCCCAGCTCGTGGGGATAGTAAATCTTCGAAGAAGCAATCCACACCTGCTGAGCCCGGTGCGAGTGGTTCGGGCCTTCCGCCTCATCTACTCCCCGAGGATCTGCGAGAATGTCTCAAAGTACTGGAACACACCATTCTATCAGGTCATCTTTCTCTGAACGAAGGGTTGAGGAAGCGATACGAGGAACAATATCCGCTGGTGAGGTCCCTTGCCGATGTATTCATTTCGCAGGTAAGTGTTCTTTTTGATCAGGAATACCGTCTGATACCTATACTGCACACTCACACTCACACCCCAATCCGCAGTCACACATTCTTCGCGGGTACGCCAAATACGTCCTCCATCTTGAGCGTGCATTGGAGCAGGTGGACAATGCGCTATCAACTGCACCTCTTTCCAAGAAGCCCAAGAAGCAGGATATTGCCGACTGGATCCATGTCAGCACAGTGCTGAAGGTTCGTGGACATGAAGCCTTTACGTTTTTTCTAATGGTGAACCTGGAAATTTCAGAAATTAGAAGATGACGCAGCTGCAAAGGGGGAGACAGGGCTAGCAATCTCTTTGTCGAAGCCATTCCAGCGCCTCCTCAAATACCCCCTTCTTTTCCAGAATCTTTTGTTTCACACTGACCCTTCGACATTCGAATATGAAAGTACACTTTCAATGGTTGCGGAAATAGAGAAAATCGTGCGGAGTATCGAGGACGAGAAGATACAGAAGGAAGAACGTGATAATACGCGGGACGCGCTTGCTCGAATCGATGGGTTGGACAAGAACAAGGTTCGTGCTGTCTTGTAACATTTTGTGCCTCATACAACTCATTGAATTGAGCGTAGGCTTTAGTTGCACCTAAACCCTCAAGACAGCTTCTTGGGGAGAAACCTCTCTCGGCCGCCTCTTCGGTTTTAACTTCCAACTCGTCGTCACCAGGAAGCAAGGCTGTGGCTGCCGGGACTTCATCCTCCGCAGCGAACGGCAGTTCCAAAGCCGTCCAAACTAAGACGTCCTTTAGGCGCCTCAGTGTCCCGTTCCAAGGCGGATCATCCAGTAATCCAACACCTGGCGGAAAGAAGGATCTTTGGCTTGTCACTTTCAGCGATGTTGTCCTGAGATGTCAAAGGACCGGCACTACAACTCTCCCCTTGGTGTCAAGCACATCATCTAGAGCAACGTCGCTCCCTGATATGCAGGGGAAAGGGAAACATACCACTGTTGGACGGCGAAACTTGAACACAAAACCGAGAAACCTATACAAGTTTATCAAAGCGCGTCTTTATTCAGTTTCATTGTGGGGTTTATTGTGACATACTCCCCTTTAGATCGAGCATTGGACGATTGGCGAGGTGGCGAAGCCGAAGGAAGGTGCTGTCACCATGGAAGAGTGAGTTTACAAGTATATTCAGGGAAAGTCCAAATTCTCATAATAATTCTGACAGCATAACCCGCACACGTTCAGCACTGGGGACCAGTAAGCCGAACCAGATTGGTGAGGATGCAGAAGAAGACGAGACCGCGGACTCCAGTGACTCTGATCGTAAGAGTAAAATGAGTTTCTCATACTGGGGTGCCGATAAGGTTACCCTCGCCATTCCGCCGGGAAAGAAACCGAACGGTATCCAGGCCAAAGCAACGCCAACACGCCGCGGTAACGCACCATCATCATACGTGAGTTTGTTCGCTCATGGTCCGTGACACTGTTATTGACGGAACCACTGAAAGACTTCGACTGCCAACGCCAAATTTGGTTCGAGGATGCGATCCCCCGAGCCTGCTGACCCAGCTTCACCTACTCCTCGACCCACCAATAAACGGAACACGCCTACACCAGCCAACAACCCACCCTCGAATCGTAAAACTTCCGACAATTCGAAACCTCCTTGGGGCAGTCCTGCAGCTGCCCGTACGGGCCCTTCCCCTCTGCCTACCACCGGGACAGGTGGTAGTTCTCGCAGGCAACAAAAACTCTCCGCCCCGACGCCTCCTAAACTGACTGCTGTCGCCAACAAGCTGGCACCACCATCTCCTGCTCCGAGCGAATTAACTCAAGACTCGGGTGTCGGGTTTTACCGCGATGTCCTCGCTCATGATCCACCTCTCAACAGGGATTCATCCAACATGCTGGGTGATTCGCATTAAGGCAGTGTCTTTGTATGAAGTATGCGCTATCTAAGGCCTGGAATCAAGGACGAGATCTACCATGGTTTCTTTACGCATTAACGACGATTCACACTCTTTTTATCTAGCTAATTAACATTGACCTGTCTTCACCACCAAATTCCCTTATATCCCGCTGCGACCATTCGCTCCTTCAAATTTGTTTTTCCGCCGAGATAATGTCTCACTTCATGGTTAACTTACCATTTCCATGGCACAATATAGTGTTATTTTTTCAGGGATACGTCTCAGTCTCCGAATTCACCATACAAAAGAGTCCCGAAATGCGTGCTCTCAGTACAGATATGTACTACGTATTAGCCATACAAAGTCATTTCCATGCACGCGTTGAGCTGTGAGTTGCTCTATAAATCTAAGCCAATAAAGAAAGTTAACACTCAACAGTAAGAATCATCTCGGTAACCAGATCGGAAATGGAAACTAATTCCTTATTTCGTGACGTCATCAATGCTTCGTTCAACCTTGATCCCATATGCCGCGTTGTGAATTTTGACACTTCTCCCGCTGGGGTCTGCGGCGCAGCCCCAATCCTCACGGGGAACCCATCGTACGGCCGTGTCTGCCGCCGTCTGAGACGGGAAAAAACCTGAAAGAGCCGTCTCAGTAGGTGGAACCTATAAGTGGGGAGATTAAGACCATACCTTGGAATATTTCACGAATGACATAGCCTTCTTTTGTATCGGGAGTATCGGCGGGAAACGTCTCATGGCGTTTGGAAAACACCTCATCTGACACGACATTATCTGCGTAATGCTTCATCCTATTCGCGATGGGGTTAGAAATGTGAGAGACAAGGTATGCCCTAAGTGTAAAAATGTAAACTTGCCCGTCGATCCAGGAATAACCAACACCGTCAGAAAACTGTTCCTTTTGCCTCCACAGTATAGAGTCGGGAAGGTATGGCTACACAGTTTTATGTTCAGTCCGAAGACTGCGCGCACTATGAAGAGGTCTCTTACTTTACCATCTTGCACTGTATCAAATGCCTTTCTGATAATATATTTTTCTTCCTTGAGTCTTCCTTCCGCGTCTCTGTCATTGGCACCTTTGCTGAACATTTTGTACTTCGGATCGATGTTCATTGCAACTTGGAGGAATGCTTTATCAAGGAACGGAACTCGTGCTTCCAAGCCCCATGCCATTGTCGACCTGATATAGTTCATGCAATGAAGCATATGATTGAAAAAGATAATTGACTCACTTGTTCGCCCTCAAACAATCGGCAGTGTGGAGATTCTTGACGCGTTTAACGCATTCTTGATGAAACGACTTGGCATCTGGCGCAGCATGAAAGTACAAGTATCCTAAATATGACCGTAAAATTAGGAGTTTTGAACAAACCGAACAGGGAAGAAGGGAAACACACCACCAAGAATTTCATCACTCCCTTCACCACTGAGTACCATCTTGACGCCCATGGCCTTAATCTTCCTGCTGAGCAAGTACATCGGTATACTGGCTCGGACCGTGGTCACATCGTATGTCTCTAGGTGATAAATAACTTCAGGAAGCGCATCTAACCCTTCTTGGACAGTAAAGGTATATTCATGATGGACTGTCCCAAGGTAAGCAGCTGCCTTCCGAGCCGCCAGCAGATCTGGGGAATTCAGGAGGCCTATGGAGAAAGAGTGGAGCTGAGGCCACGAGGCAAGAGAAGCTAGCAAAGTTGATTACAACTAATTCAGCCTGCGTCAAGGGTCGATCAGCGCACACCTACCCTGTTCTTTAAGCTCAGTTGGCGTCCGGGATCCAGTCCCATTACCAAATCTTATCGCTGCAAGTCGCTTTTTCCGGATCTCTAGCTGAGCAAGTGCGACTTTTTCCGTCTCTCGAGCCGCCACGGCGGCAATCAAGCTCGAGTCCAATCCGCCGCTCAAAAGCACTCCATAAGGCACCTCACTCATAAGCCGCTTACGAACCGCCGCCTCGAGAGCCTCTCGAAGAAGAGTCAAGTCCGGCTCTTTCTCCGGAATCTCGGCATTATCTTCATCGGTGTGAAGCCATGAAGGGTTGTAATACCTGACAGTTTCTCCAGTCTTACTGTCGTACACATGACCAGGAGGGAAGGAAATGATCTTATCGCACTCCTCGGCAAGGGCCTTGAGCTCCGAGGAGAAATACACTCTTGATGGATCTGAGGAACTCCATCCTTGATAAAGGGTAGTGACACCTATAGGATCCCGAGCCGCGACAACACGCGAGGGCGTCACTGACTCATCAAGCAACACAAAGGAGAAAATCCCGTCCAAAGAAGAGCAAAGTTCGGTTGTTGACATTCTCGTATACTAAATATGCGTCTCAATATACGATGATGACAAGGTCCAAATGACCACGCAAAGCTCACCAAGTGGAGGATGACCTCACAGTCAGAATGCGTTTTGAATTTGGCATCGGGGAAAAGGGACTCCCTCAAGGGAACATGATTATAGATTTCTCCGTTGACAGCAAGTGCCAGTCGTTGATCCTCATAAATTAGAGGTTGGGCGCCAGAGTCTCATGAAAAAAAAATCAATATTTTTATGAGATAAACGAACGCACTGTGCTCACCAACTCCTACGATAGCTAAGCGCTCGTGTACTAGAATAGTTTCCCTCCCCACGTAGCATCCAGACCAGTCCGGGCCACGATGCCTCTGCTTTTTTGAGCACGCGATGGCTCTCGATCGATAACTCGCTGGAACTTTCAGCCCATGAACTGCAAATATCCCACACATGGATCCCTCTAGTCCTTAATGCGCGAAGAGCAGATCGGAGTAAGATTGAACTGAATGATCAATCCGTATTCAATTTTCGGCCGAGTCATCGGCTTAATCCTCCGATGACGAAATGGGCGCGAGGCGTCTGCACCCGCGTTAATTCAAATCAGACTAGAGTGCTCGCTTCGCTTGTTGGACTCTGCACCGCATCACTTGTATTGTTGTCCAAATCATTGTCATATAATTTATTGGACACAGTAATGGCTCATGCAAGAAAGGAGGTACTTATTCACAGCAAATACTTGGGTGCTGACATGTGACAAATGGGTGTGTCGGAAATGGATGTGGGAGTGGAGATATTGCGCGTCCGTTGCGGAGTATGGTCCAGAGCACAGAGCCGAATCTGGCGTTGCACTGTGCCCCGGCCCCGATCGAAATGCAAAATTGACGAAACGATGGAAAAATGGGTATGTGCCAGCGTTGCCCATGTTCCAGAAAGCGCGTCCATGTAGGATACCGGTTACAATAAAGAGAGATCCAGAAGATTGGCACCAGGAACAATGCATTCCATGCCTCAGAGGGAGTGTTCTTACATGAAAAATGAATAAGTGAAATTTCAAAAATGGCGACGTGGCCACGGGAGTGACTCTGGTGCAGAGTAATGGAGATAAGGAAGTCCGAATGTGCTCTAAATTGACTTGGATAATTTACTGCAAATCTTCGATCCATTCGATCAATGAGCCAAGGCCGTGGCCATCCATATCATAGGAGCGTGCTTCTTCATAAGAATCACTATTGTTGCCCTTCTCTACAGTGGACGTTCCTGATCCATCTTTCAGGCTGCTGGCAATGATGGTAGCTTCGCCACCTTCCCATGTCTCGAATGAGAAGCCTTCTGAGCCCGTGCATTCCAATCCACCCATTTCTCCACCCATCTCACCACTCATCGCGCTTTTCTCCGTCCCATCTCCGAGACTTCCGACACCCACCCCACTCACAGACTGCAGACGACGTTTCTCCAACTCCCTTTCGAGAATTGAGCGAACTCTGTCTGTTGCGATCTTCGAGCGAGACGAAGATGTAGGCACAGATATTAGATCGGATTTATGGGAGAGAATTACAAGCGAGGGGACGTGGGTGGTGGGAGGGAGGGAAGTGAGTGCGTGCATTATTATGTGAAGGTGCCTAGAAGGAACGATCAGTTTCAATGTATTGTATGGAAGTGGGCGATGGGATAGACCGCGCAACAGCACTCACTCGGCTACAGCAGGCCCACTCCTGGCGAGGTTACTGGTATCCACAACGAATATAATGCCTCTTGCATCTCCCAGATAGTTCGAAAACTGGGAACGAATGCGAGGATGACCTGGAACGTCTATTATGCGAAAAGCCCTATCTTTTGGAGTAGAAGAGGAGGAAAAAGTGGCTTGAGTTTCGTTTACTTGAAGTGAAGTGTGTGTTGGCAGCGCTTGTTTGAATGTCAGCTGCGGACAGAGATATAATGTGTGTTGCAGAATGCATACTACATGAGCCGATATGGGGAGAAACTGTCCAAAGTAGACTCACGAAGGATGTGATCGCAGTTTTACCTGCATCAGGGGGTCCGACAAGAAGTAGTGCATTTCCCCTTCTTCCCTTGAACGAATAGGGTCTGAGAAATATTGCAACTTTACAAGAGAAAGGGAATCACAGGAAAGCTAACGAATGCAGCGGAAAATACCCACCAGCAGCTATGAGGGCGCAAAGGAGCGCGACGACCAACAAGAGATGCGGGCTTGACATACTGTTTTCGGAGGCGTGTAAGTTATGGGCTGTGCTGGGACAGTCGGAGCGTGGGAACGAATGCACTGTCGCTAAATTCTTGATAAATTTTTGGCAGCAAGCGGAGCGTGCCAGATGTTGTCCATGTGCTGCATGTTTCACTGTTGCGCTACGCTCTACATGTAGCGCTCGTTCGCATCTGGTTTCTTTAGCACTTTTGTCTGATATCCCTAGCTACTTATACCGCTGCACGGTTATAATGTCATGCAGATCTTCTTGAGTATCCCCCGCTGAGTGCCACATAACAACACGAGAAGAAGGTTAGGGTACGATGGCGAACCCCCGAGAGATAGCATTTTTTGAGTGGAAAAGCTACTACCATTTTTGAAACCATTACTGGTGGAGTGCCGGTGCCAATAGTCTAGCCTTCACACACACTTAGGCAGCTAGCTTCGGATCGGATAGACTTCCATTAATTCTTGCTTTATTCTCGTCAGGGACCCGTACCCTTATATGCTTAGAGCCTGATGAATACCGAGCTAAACTACCCATTTGTGCTGGCTCTGAAAATGTCAGCGAACAAAGCGATCCGTGGATGTTCCTGGTAGTTTGACGGTTTCCGGAAAATCAACACATACTGACAAACCATAAACTTGGGAGTGCCCCTGCATCAGTGAGACACTTGGGAACACCACGCCTCGAGCACAGTCTTTGAATACTCTCTACTACAGTCAAACGCCATTACTCATTCCAATTCGTAGCCGATGTAGTCCCTTCAACGTTTCTTCGAGTCGTAGTGGCGAACTTCTGAGTGTACTGTCCGGACTCTAGCGGAGGGCATACCTTCGAAACCCAAGAGTTGATGCGAATTAACGAATACAAAACACTCGGGCTCACATCTTCACTGTGTATAATCCCTCGGGAAAGCCCAATTGGACCGTGTCCTTTATCAGAGTAAGCCCTGCTTCCCGGAAAATGGATCTCCATTTCTGGTCGGACCTTCGATGTTCGAGAAGGGTCAGAACAGAGAGCCCTCCAACCCGTTGTTCGACCCCTACCTTGTGAAACTCGCATCATCTGAATCGTAAGCTTGGTCCGGTCCCCCGTCTTCCGCATCGGGGCAGACATTTTCCTTTACAATGATGACAGGCGGAGATATCTTCTGAGACAGGACACCAATCTCAGTTTTCCGACGCAATGCATCCCTGCACTGCCGGAAGAATGTGACGAGATCTGGATCGGATAGGTGTCCCAAACACCACTGACACCAAATGATATCGAAGGCGGAGTCAGTCTCTGGGTCCACTGCAGACCCTTTTCTTGCCAAAAGTTTGACTTCAAGTGCCAACTTTGGGGATGATGGGTCGTAGTGTTGGAGGGTCCCCTGTAGAAATGTTACACTCTTTGACTTATCATTGAGGCCCCGCCAGGTCGCAGAGAGCTCGATGGCTTGCTTGATGAAAGATTCTACAGGTTCGAGGAGGACAACATCCGAAACGAGTGGCAGCAGGGTTGTAGAAGTAACACGGCCTATTCCCTAGCAAATGGCCACATAAGAGTGCTGTGGCTCGGAGTTTCGGCCACACACGTACAGCACCGACGTCCAGTGCCCTGATCCTTCTGTGGGCACCTGCGTCCAGCGGACGGATCGCAGATGGAACGATGCATAACTCTGGTAATAAAGAAAGGAGAAAGAGTCGAGATCCTACAGAATCCACGCGGGGGAGGGACTATAAATGATCATAAGTGAGATGAACCGATACTTCTGGGGCAATTAACAAGCACCCCAGATCCAAAGCCTCCTAGGAACCGCCATGGATCATTAGCATCTATAATCAATGAAATAAACGAATGCGGCGTGCCTAAAACGCCATCTACGGAGGCGGGCACCTTTTCCCAATAATCCAGGCCTTGTTGAATCATGTCGCCTTCCCCGGACATGTTAGTAGCACCGGCAAAGGGTAGCGAATGCCAAATATTATGATTTATTTATGATGCTGCTGGTTCAGATCTAGTTTGGGGCACGGTGACAACCTATCCGTTGCGTGAGGCTGCTCTCAGCGAGGCATTAATTTGTTGACAAGTGCTTGTCAGTGGTGAAATAACTCCGCGTCTCCGGTGCACTCCCGTCATTTATCCGAACATGACTCATGCAACTATTGCCCCACGACGCTGCCTGCTTCCGCAAGGCAACAAATGCCATAAGGAGGCTTTTTGGTTATATGCTGTTTCCCGGCTTATCAAATTGGAGCGTAATTAGAACGAGTACTGAGACCTTTGTCCTCATGGCAGTGGAACCTTGCTCTCTGGTACTCCACGTTGGCCGAATCCATAGGGGGGTCAATTACGTGCCAGGGAATGAAGGAAGCCATATGACTTGGTAGTCCTAGTCCTAGTTCCACTGGAAGCAGAGCGATGCTGAGCCGCCCATGATGTACCTTTTCAGTTTTTCTCCAACCTTCAATTTCTGACTTTCCCTGACCGCCATCACTCCAGGATCCCTCAGCCGGACCTTTCCAACGTGTAGGCCACACTTTTGTTTGAAGTGAAAATGCAACAAATAACGTTCTACTATGAATGGACACGTCCCATAAGCTAACTTCTGGCTCGTCACTCCGGTCTGCAAGCGCATCTTCCGTGATCCTGGATACCATCCAAGGACTCGGAGGAGATGGCATCATTACAAAGGCATTAACATCAGCTTGCTATCATGCGCGTCCAACCACCGGGTTTGAGATCATAGATTGGTTTGTGGTGATCAATCTGTGAATTTTTTTGGTTTAACGTACGCGAAGCTAGAGCCTGCATGGCCCAACGAGGTGCCTGGGGGAGGGAGATTAGCAGCACCGTAAGGGACGGTTGCCTCAGCCACTATATGATAGTCCTCATTCCTGCTCTTGGCTGTAAACCTTCTAGTTCGAGGTGTGTGATATGCAGGGGAACTGTTGTGTATCCTGGCAAGGTGACAAGGCTGAGCATAATCCGATTGCATTCTGGTCAAAGCATCGAGTACCGGTCTGGTTTGCCTCAAGTCAGGTTTTCCCGCTTCGAGCGTGGGCCATCCAAATTGACATGGGTCTGAGATACTTGGAAGACGCGGATTATCCTCACAACGACTTGACTACTGTCGGATGTCATTGGTCTCAGTTTGTACTTATGTTGCAAGGCCGGGCTGGTGGGGTGGCTTGTGTGTGAGCGAATGCGTCAAGGATAGCGTGGCGACGGCCCCGACAGGAAGTCGAAATGGATCTTCCAAGCATCGTCATGTCCATGACTTGAGTAAAAAATCGCACTTCGGTCTCATCGTCCGGTCAAGCTGACATAATAATGGTCAATAATAATTGGTACTGTTGACAACACAATGGCACAAGACTTGGACGACCCAACAAAGAGAAGAGGCAACTGAACTTGTGTAGGTAACGTAACTAAGGAGCGGAAAGGAGTGAACAGCGAGGTTCACGGTCAGGGTATCCACAGATGGCGAGCTTGCACGTACGATAAACGCAGGAAATTGGCCAGTCATATCGTGTTGATAACAAAAGCGCTCGCACAATTCAAAGCCAATAAATAAAGAGCACAGTAATAGCCCATGATACCGAAAAATGGCAGAACAATGTCCCGGTGTTGCTCGACCAACGGACAAGACGTGCACATTGCCAGAATACACAATCAAATTCGCCTCACTGGTTGAGCGCTACCATTCTGACCTGGGAGTGGCATTGTTCCTGCACGGCTGGGGAAATTCTGTTGGGGTGGTATATATCCACCCATAGGAGCAGGTCGATTGTGCTGTTGCTGAGGACGTGGCAGCGCTTGCTGCGAGGGATAGATTTGCTGGCCGGATACAGGGTTTTGCGCATTTGGTTGATTGGGGTTGTAGATTCTCTGCTGTCCATTAGGCGCGTAAGGTACGGAAACTCCGGAGGGAGGACCGCGCGCGCCATTTGGATACTGTGGTTGTTGCTGTTGCGATGGCATCTGAGGTGGTCGGCCAGACGGCTGAAGACTTTGTGGCGGTGGTTGATGCTGTGGATGAGGGCGTTGTTGACTGCCAGAGCCTTGGCGCACAGGCACCGGTTGGCCGTTAACTGGTCGACTAGTCGCCGGTAGCTGAGGGGGTATGGACACAGGTGGTGGTCCTGCCTTTTCAGCTGCTTTCAATATTTCATCACTGAAAGGTCAACAGCATGTACTGTCAGTTTAGGAAGAAGGGGATCGTGGATAGCACATACTCTAAAAGATTAAGAGCAGCACACAGGACAACCCATTCAACACAGTCCTCGTTCCCCTCTCCCAATGTTTGCCATACCGCCTTTTCCTCTGGGGTTTTCCCCGTGATAGAAATACGGGTACCGCCTCCACCTGGACCAGGAGGATTCTTCTGAATTTTTCCAAATTCGATGCGCTTAGGAGGAATGAGATGGCCAGCATACGCAAAATAAAACATGGACCAGAATGTGGCATTGGGGTTTGGTTTCGAGACTTGGAAGAGAGGCAAGTCGGGTCCGTTGGGGGAGGGTAGGGAGAGTTTATAAATAGGGGACATAACTCCAGTGTTAGCGATGGTCCATTTCAAGTTGCGAGACGCTTCGCATCGGACAGCCCGAGACGCGGCGCCCGAAGAATGACCGGGGTCAGAGGCAGCGGATTTTGCTCCAGGGGCATTGCGATTAGGAGGAAACATCTTCGCAACGCAGAGATCGCCTTGAGGGCTGGGAGTGAGAAGGTAATTTTCGGCATTCTAAAGAGAGTCTTTACGTGTCATTCGGGCAGCGGTGAGCGCTTGAGGGACAAAGCGAACGTACGAAATTGGTATGAAGGTAAGAGTAAAGGATGTTGGAAGGTTGCCCATGGGGAGTGACTATGAGCGTTGGAAGGTGGTTAGGGATCGGGGCATGACTTGGGCTAGTGAACACGGTGTAGATGGCTGCCATCACGGTGTCAGCGGTTGCTACGGGAGACGAAGTTCAACACCTCAACGCAATTCGAGGGAGAATCACACTTGCCTTAACAGTAATAGAGGAGGATTTGACGCCGCTATGGACGGTCTGAAAAGTGGCAAGGGTGTTCAACTGTGCAAAAGATGAGAGGTGGCTCTTGAGGCAATGGCCGGATGCAAATCCATCTGACAGCCTCAACTTTGACGACGACGTTAGAGGGTGGCATTCTTGGCCGCAGCATTAGTACATCTACTGCTCTCGAAACTGCTCGTCATTTTCTTGACCGTTGAACATGAAGGGGCTCAAGAAATCACTGGTTTGTTGCTCGCGATCGCGCATCATGCGCTTGACGATCTCACATACATTGTGTTTCGAACCCGAAAGCAGATTTCCCGTAATTTCACCTCCTCGAAGAACAAGAGCAGCTCGTCTGATAAGCAACCCGCCCCACCTCCACCGCCTCCAAACAATGCAAAACCTTTGCCTCAGTCAAATCTGGTCGCTGCATCAAAAGATATCCCGGCAGCTTCACAACCTTCAGGCGTAGCTGGTCCTAATTTGGTCGCGTCGTCATCATCCTCTTCACTACAGAGAAATGGCGCAGTTCCCTCTTTGAATCCAGCGACACCGGAAAGGCGCGTTCCGAGTGACAAGACTTCCCCAGCACCACCAATCGTTGTCGTGAGCCCGAGCACCGATATGTCTGCCGATGGCCTTCCACACAATCGCAACAGTATCCCTTCAAATATCCGCTCGTCTGGGGAACCTGGCACCCTGCCCCGCGCTACCCCACTCAATAGACTGCGCAATACCCCAAAGGACACAATTCCGATGATAGGGAAGCCCCCGAGAAAGCAGCGCAGCAGCCGTTTCCATCCTTCCGAGAAAGTTGAAATCGAGCGATTACCCTCTTTTGCCGGTCTGTTCTGTTTTCTCGTGATGACCATTCACGCACAGAAGTCCCATTTCCGCTCATCATTTTTTCTCCAGAGGTTACTGTCAATGACCGCCCGGAGTTGTTCATACGGAAACTGCACCAGTGTGCTGTAGTTTTTGATTTCAATGACGCGAGTTCGGAGCTGAAAGGGAAACAGATCAAAGCTGCTGCGCTGCATGAAATGCTAGAATACATTACTACACAGCGTGGCGTTATCACAGAACAAATATACCCCGAGGTCATTGCGATGGTATGTCGTTCAGCACCGAATTTAACAGGTCCCTGCTTTAACTCGATATATCGTTCCAGTTCTCGACGAATCTCTTTCGATCTATACCCCCTCAAGTCAATCCCACAGGAGATGCATTTGATCCCGAAGAAGATGAGCCAGTTCTTGAGCTGGCGTGGCCGCACCTACAGGTGGTTTATGAGTTCTTCCTTCGATTCGTCGAGAGCCCCGATTTTAACACCAATATCGCCAAACGGTATATCGACCAGTCGTTCGTGTTGAACTTACTGGAACTCTTTGATTCGGAGGACCCTCGCGAGCGCGATTTCTTGAAAACAACTCTCCATCGAATTTATGGGAAATTCCTTAATCTCCGCGCGTTCATAAGACGGTCAATCAACAACGTCTTCTTTCAGTTCATCTACGAAACGGAACGACACAACGGGATAGCAGAGTTGCTTGAGATCTTGGGATCAATTATTAATGGTTTTGCCCTCCCTCTCAAAGAAGAACACAAGCTCTTCTTGAGTCGTGTCCTCCTCCCACTTCACAAGGCCAAGTCACTTGTGATGTATCACCCTCAACTCGCATATTGTGTCGTGCAATTCCTCGAAAAAGATGCAAGTCTTACAGAGGAAGTGATCCTCGGCCTCCTGAAGTTCTGGCCAAAAGTTAACTCACCGAAGGAAGTCATGTTCCTGAACGAAGTGGAGGAAATCCTTGACGTTATCGATCCTATCGAGTTCCAGAAGATCCAAGTGCCTCTATTCCAGCAACTCGCTCGATGCATCAACAGTCAGCACTTCCAAGTCGCAGAGCGCGCTCTGTACTACTGGAACAATGAATACATCGTCAATCTCATGGGAGAGAACCTTGCCATTATTTTGCCTATCGTTTTCCCAGCCCTGTACAGGAACTCAAAAACTCACTGGAATCGGTGAGTCTCTTATATCAGATCGGATGAAAGTCACTCATCAATGAGGCTTCAGCACCATTCATGGGATGGTTTACAATGCTCTGAAGTTGTTCATGGATATGAATAACGAGTTGTTTGACGAGTGCGTTCATGCCTTCAAACAAAACCTCATGGCGTAAGTCTCTTTCACCTGATTCTTCTCGATATTTGGACTAAACTTTTTTCAGTGAACGACAGCGCCAACAAACCAGATACGAGTCGTGGCAGAAGATGAGAGCAGAGGCCGTCCAGAATGCTGGCGGGCAACTACCCCCTGGCGTCCCCGACATCGACAATATCCTTCCACCGGACGAAACTGACGATGACACCGCCTTGATAAATGATGTAGCCTTAGATCTGTCCGCGGCTACAATCGAGGCAGAAGCTGTTGAATTTGATGAGGCTGCAGCTCAAGAGCGACTCCCACATGCAGATCCTTCGTTTGAGACGAACGGCTCTGCTTCAAGAGAAGATAATGGGGTGAGTTCATAAACACTGCATTGCGTGCCCTCTTAACACCGTCCAACTCCCTTCTAGCCCTTCCCCGGCAGTTCCCCATCGACATCTGCACAAAGCCCCCACGTTCGGAGAAAAAGCGTTCTCCCAGGTTTGCTGTCCAACCCTGCCAAAATACTTGGTATGATCTAATATTGGCTTTTCAGTTGATCCTGGAGTCCTACGTGACTTGCAGGCCCATAAAAGCTTAGAACTTGGACCGTATGCCTAATGCCCCTACCTCGCAATTCTCCCCACGCCCATGTCCTTCTTGCCTTCACGCTATTTATCGCACAGACATGGGTCACGGCACAACCTCACCGTTCGCACTCAATGGACTTTAGTTTGTATCACGGTCTAGTTCCCCAATTTTATGAGGTCTGTGTAAGCGTGCTTGCCGCTGAAAACTGGTACAATACTGCTATATATACCCTTATGAATCGCATTCTTGCAGACACTAGACAAGGATGGCGCTTCACACGTTTGCGGCCAAGAGAGCAGCGCTCGAAAGTTGACGTCGAATGTCCCGGTAATCAACATCGTGGGCTGCACATTGGTTAGGAATGCCCCTAGGAACAGCTGAAGTTCGACGTACTATCCTCAACTTCCCCCCACCGGTTGATCTGACTTTGAACCTCAACACGTGCGGCCAATGCTGCTTCCTCGGCGGTTATCCTACCCTTTACCAGAGCGAGACCGATCATGAATGATTTAGACGAATGCACTGCACGACACATTGCTCGTATATCGGGTCAGGCTCAACTCAGGGCTCGATACACGCGTCCACGCACCAGCAAGAGTCCATTGGTCCATCTCTTTTAGGATTGTATGAAGCGTTTGCACTGCTTGGGCTGGTGAAGGTTGAATGAACAAGGTGTCGGAAGTGGGGATGGCAATGTTGAATTCGGCTCGCGCCCATTCCAGGATAGGTACCCAATGCCTTTTTTGCAGTTCAACCAATTGGGGCGGTTCCTTCGCCATGAAACTACATAATTTCAACAGTTATTCCAAGGAACTACCAAGCTTAGTCGACTGACAGAATGGTGTCGGTTCTTAGATATTTCAAAAGATCCATATGAGCATCGCCCCGAGCGCCTGGGTCACTGAGCGTGTCAATGGCCACAGATACGAGAGATGTCTATTAGTCCATCGGTCAAAAGATGACGCGGGGGGCGGCAGGTGCAAGATACCAATGTCAACGCATGCTGCTTGACGACCCGGTTTTGGCGCTCCCACTCGTTTACAACCGAGGCTGCGAACAATCCCTTTGTTGATGGAACAGTCAAAAGATTGCCAGCTGGGGTCCTCAAAGGTTTGTTGTCCAGAGTTATTGTGAAGTATTCTTGCTCGGGTTGCAGTAAATGAGCATCAACAAATCCGTTCGATGTTGAAACATACCCGGATAGGCTTTCAGGCCAACTGTCTTCCAGGGACGTTTGGAATTCCGCTCTGCTAGCGGTTTAAGTTCAGTAATGGATATAAATTCGTACAAAGTCGCGCACAGTCGGCACGTTCAGTTGCAACGCCCGGGATTTGAGCATGCTGTGCAGAATCCGTCCTTCTCGCTGCTGTTATGCTAAGCGATCGGTAGAAAGCCGCCCGGCGAGACTCGCGACGCCAAACAATCGGACTTTGAGTGAATCCGCGAACCCGCCACATGAGTAAAATTTAGCTTATGTAATCGTGTTACCGAATTTTGGGGTAATGCATCGGTATGTAGAGGGTTCAGATACTCCAAAGTAGGCCCCTGCTGCGCATGCCAATCTCGCAACATTAGCTGGTGGTAGTGACTCTGACGTGGATCAAAACTCGCCATTAATGTCATACATGGATATAATTATATTACATTGTGAGCCCTGGCCAGGGTTTTGGCAGCAGCGAACATTTCCTTTAAGCCCTCCGCAAGTCTTTTCAATTCTTCACGCTTTCGCTGGGGGTCGATGGATGGTGGAGAATCGAACCTTGGAAGCTCTGCCCGGACCAATGCCCAGCCTTCAAGACCCCAGATGCTATCAAATAGACTTTGAAGCTTGTCCCCATCCCACCCTACAAGACCGTCGGGTAGGGGACCTCCTCGCTTCAATGCATATTTCTGGTCCCTTACTCCTTGAGTGTAGTCCAATGGATCTGACATCCGCATTCGTTCCATCCCACCAGGCCCCACTTTCGGTCCTCCATGAGTGGAGAAGGGCATTTTCGTGATTGTGATGGTGTTCCGAGATTGCCCGACATGAACAGGAACGTGCCCTAATCGAGAGAGCTGATTATAATAGACATGTGGCGAGTCTGAAATGACATGCAGATAACTTGCCTGCTTCGGCGGAATTTTCTTTGCCGAATTCATCAGCATAAGTACATGAAATCGAAGTCATCCAACCACCCCTTGGGGCGCTGGTCACAGCATGAGTGAAGATGTTCCCATCGCTCACATCCCTGTGATACAAGCCATTCGCCTCCATAGACTCGATCTCTGGAAAATTAGGTGAGGATTCAGTGCTACCAAGTAGCTGTGATGGCCCTTACGTCCAGTGATTTCTGAAAACGCATCGAAAACCCGCGGCAGCGATGTCTCCTTCCAGATAGAAACCCCAACTTTATCGGTAATCACGCAATAAGTATAGGATGCGATTAATGACGTCGCGCCTGAGTGTTGTAATACCTTTTGTTGAAGTGATTGGTACACAATGTCGATCGTCACCCACCATCGGGTTTACACTCGAATCCCCATAACCCTACAATAATGCCGACGTCTCACTGCCCAAATCTCGAGACTCTAATCCTTTCAATATCTCCGACGCTCACATTCAAAGCCCGGGTACGCATTGCACAGTGCATTATCAAACACCTTGATGCCCGACCAAATCTCTTAAAAGTCAATATCTTCAACGAACTTGCCCATTCAGCTTCAGATTCTTCTGATGTCGACTCGAACCCTCCACCCGCGCCAATAATCACCCAGGATCTCCTAAGGGCTTTCCCGACCGGGGTGACTGTCGGGCGACGCCAATCACTCGCTGTTTTTGAGACGTTTGCTCGCAAGTACCCCCGATTGTAGACCTATGTTTGTTTGTAGGCATCATCTGCTCACCCGGCGTGGACCCGGCGGAGCACATCCTGCAGCGGATCAAATGACTATGAGGGAGACACAAGGAATCCTTGGGGGGCGGTTCGGCACTAGGTCTCGCAAGAACCAGAGACTCCGGGGGCATGACCAGTCTTTTCGTTGAGCGATGTGTGTCAATGGTTCAACTTTGCACCTTGCTATCGATACCAGACTCGTACCCAGTCGGAGGAGCTCCGTGGACGCGCAAAATAATAGCTCTTTATGTAATGTTCTCACGTTCTGTACTCAATACAAAAGGTCACATGCTACGGAGTTAAACACATAGCCGATCACCTACTCCGGAAATTTGGACGCGACACTTCGCTCCTCCGACTGGGGCAAAATGTAGTATGGGCGACCGCGACGTCGTTAAACTAGGGAGAGAAAAACAACTAAGAACAACAAATACAACTCGGAAAACAAAAATATGAATGACTAAGGGGAACCACTAGAAAACCGGACGTGATGCTGGCAAAGACCCCTTGACCTCGACAGGGCAACCAAAATACGCCCCAGTACACTGTCAGGTCCCCATCCGGAAGGGGCTAGGAGTTGGGTACACCCGGTTGGAACGCTAACCACTATGCAGTTCCCCGGTGCCCGGGTAATCCTGCAAGGATTAGGTTGGCGGTGCCACGAAGTACAAATACACCAGTACCTCTCGTCCCACAGAAAAATCATACTAGCGGTAGAACGCCACAACGGTGTGTCTCCCCGCAAACTCCTACTAAATAAAGCCGTAACATACACAAAACTTCTCTCAACAGTGGTTCCCCAAGTCACAAATATGCAAAGTAAACGTAACAACCTTAACGACCATCAACGCTCGCTGTCTCCCCTCAGCTCCATTGGGGCGGATGACACCATGATAGATGACCTTATGGGGACGCACCAACAAAGCACTCCTAACAACACCGAAAAGGACTTAACCACACTTGTGTCTCCCACCACCACACTCCCATCTATCACCTCCATTCTGGAGGTGGCCAAACGCCACAGATCCCCAGACTCGGATGCCAATGTAACGCTTTGGGAAATCCACCTTCCCCCCCCATTCTTCGAAGTTCCCGACCCCACCCCCGGTGTCCTGAACACCAGCTATGACCAATGGGTCCGACTATTCAGAGAAACCACATTCTCCACCCCTACAAGTAACAACGGGTCCGCCAGCGGCTCCCACATATACTGCCATACTTGCAAAGGGTTGGACCACACATTCGCTGTTTGCCCAATCCATGAGCACTATATCTGGCGTGAACTCAACCTGAGCCCAGAAAATCCCCCTACACCAAACTCTGTTGATCTGCCCCGGCCCCACCTGGCAAATCGGGGACGCGGCAGAAACCCAGGACGCTATCGAGGACGTGGCCGGCACTACACCTAAAATGACCACTAAAAAGTAAAGCTATGTAGGCTACCCAATCCCTTCTAGCTTCATGTAAAATACACTGCCTGAAACATTTAACTCATGAGTGAACTGAAATAAAAACTAAACACAGGCAAGCAGCCTCGGCTAAGGACGCCCAAATTTACTGGACCGCAAGGTGACAGGAAAGCGCACCAGCCCACCCCAACCCCCTCTTCTCTCTCCGCCCCCTCCATGGCTGGCAACCAGGAGGGGGTGTACAAACAAACGCCAGCGAAAAAGTTAACACAAACAACCAACACAGGACCCCCAATCAGGACCCGAAACGAACTCAACCGGTAAATGGCCTCCTCCCTCTGCCTCTAGAGGACTGCCGGCTTCAACCGTTTTCCAAATGTCCAAGGACAGAGGCAGAGGAACTGAAAACGGCCCCAACCCACTGTCCCCTCCGCCTAAGAGGAGGCAACCCCTCCCCCCAAAATGGCCCCCCCAGCCTAAAAATAGGCGCCCTCAACATCAAGGGCGCAAATAGCTCCTCCACCAAATACAAATGGACTACCCTCCTACAAAAAATGAAAAAAGAAAGATTTGGCATCATGTGTCTCTCCGAAACCCACACCGACCAAATACAACAAGAATACTTAGACAGTACCTATGACCCAGAGTGGACAATCACCCACTCCTTTAACCCAGATCACACCCGCGCAGGTGGTGTTGCTATCATAATTAATAAAAACATAATCAAAACCAAACCCAGATCCACTAGAAACATTATACCCGGCCGCGCCCTCCTCATAGAAATAGACTGGCCACCCGACTCCCCTATCAAAATCCTAGCCATATACGCACCCAACCCCCACCACGAGAACTCCCAGTTCTGGAGGACACTCCAACAGAACCTTCACGGCACCTCCATCGACATTATGCTTGGGGACTTCAACATGGTAGAAGAAGCAATCGACAGACTTCTGCCACACCCAGACCCGGAAACAACAGTAGCATCCTTCCACAACTTCACATCCCCAAACAACCTAACAGACGGCTGGAGGAACTCACACCCAGCCCCCGAAAAAAACTTCACCTTCGGCCACTCCACAGGGACATCCCTCTCCAGAATTGACCGAATATACGCATCTGACACTATCAGAGAAAAAGCCTACACATGGGAAATATCCAGCCCGGGCCTATCCACTGCCGACCACCAACTCATCTCAGTGGAACTCAGAGACAACTGCACTACCACAATCGGGAAAGGAAGATGGGCCATTCCCCTTTACCTGACCAAAGACCAAAACTTCCTACATGAAGTCGAAACTATCAGCAACGAGGCCCTAGACGAAAGACTTCATATCAGCTGTGACGCACCTAGCCAGAAAAATCACAAAAATAAAAGCAGGTAAACTCAACTCGGAAGTAAGGCGCCTCACACACAGACGTGACAAGGCAATGTCAAGGCTGACCTCCTCCAATGAGACCCTAACAGAAATGACACAACTCCAGATACAAAACCTAACCAAAAGAATAAATGAAATCGAAAAACTGAAACAAACTAAATCAAGAGCTAATGCAGGGGCAAACAAAAGACTCCTAAGCGAAACAACCAACAAGTACTGGTGCAAATGGGGGAAGGAAAACAAACCACGCGACACAATATCCGAACTGAGAATCCCGGACTCCAACCCACCAGCATACACATCCAAATCGGAAGAAATGACAAATATCGCCGCCAACCACTACAACAATGTGCAAAACAGAGACTTAACCACCCACCAGGAAGCAAGGGAAACCCACATTACGAACACCCTCAACCTCATCCGGAACCACACCCCCCGGAAATACACTCAGACCTGGCCACCCCGCTAAGTCTTGCAGATATAGACAAAGCACTAAAACAATCCCCTAACGAAAAAGCTCCTGGCTTGAACGGAATACCCACTGAGCTATACAAAAACCTGAACTCCAGGTGGGAAAAGCGGAAAAATGATAACCAAGGCCTTCACGTAGTAAAACTCCTAACTCTCCTAGCCAACGACATCGAAAAAAATGGCACCTCATGCCCACAATTCTCGGAAGGATGGCTATGCCCACTCTACAAAAAAAAAGATAAAAGAGAAATCGAAAACTACAGGCCCATAACTGTACTAAACGCTGAATATAAGATCATCACAACAGCCCTCATGAATAAGCTATCCCCGATAGCTCCCCTCCTTATCCACAAATGCCAAGCAGCCTTCATGAAAGGCCGAAGCATTTTCGACCAAATTGACCTCGTAAATCGCATGACGGACCTGTGTGAACTAACCGGACAGGACGGCGCAATCATTGCCCTCGACCAAGAAAAGGCGTATGACCGCATCCGCCATGATTACCTCTGGAGGGTCATGGAAACCATGGGAATCCCACCAGAACTAATATCAACAATCAGAAACCTCTATTCCGAAGCCAAGACTAAAGTAATCCTAAATGGCGAAATTAGTAAAGACTTCCCAATAACCAGAGGGGTACGCCAAGGTGACCCACTATCATGCCTCCTGTTCAACATCGCCATAGAACCCTTATCAATTGCCCTGAGAGAATCTCCGTCCCTCAAAGGACTAGAAGTCAAAACACCCACAATCTCACAAAGAGTCATAATATCCCTCTTTGCCGATGACACGGCTATCTTCCTCTCCAAAGATGACGACCTGAATGACCTACTCACGACATTAGATCGCTGGTGCATTGCCTCTGGGGCAAAGTTCAACCAAGAAAAGACAGTTGTCCTCCCTGTCGGCTCACCAGACTTCCACGAACGGGCCCACAGTGAGAGATCCATTAACCCCTCCTCCAGCGACAAGCTAGATGAATCAATAACCATACTAAAGGATGGACAAACTATGAGATACCTAGGGGCCCAATGCGGGAACAAGCCCAACCATAAAGACCCCTGGCCCACGATCACAGC